TCGATCTGCTGCTTCATTCTCACTAGAGTCTTCCAGGAAGGAGGTACTGCCACTCTCTCCACTGCTGCTGTAACGCCGGCAGCTTTCATAACCCCCAAAGAGGTCCAAGTCATCATCCACTTGCTCCTCATTCTTCTGCTCCAAGGATGAGGACTTGCAATGGGCCAGAGACTCCAACTAACAGCAAAACAGACCGGAGTATATTTGAAACACCCACAGGCATGATTGGTGGGAAAGAGGCATTCAGTTCACATATATCAGAGGCAGAATCATTTGAGCAGGCTATTAGCCAAGGAAGTGTCGGTACTTCCACTAATGACGAGGTCCCATACTCCCTCAATATGCTCCCCTTAAAATATTACATATTCATTTAAAATACTGTGTTGTTTCCTTTAAGCCAAGCAGCTAACAACAACAACAACAACAACAACAACAACAAACTAGAACAATTTAAAACTAACACATATCAAATATCAAGTGAAAATATTTTTCAGACAGTAAGTGGAAGAGTAAACTGGAAGAGCTGCAGAAAAGGACAAGCAAATTATCAGATGCTGGACTAGACAGGCCTTAGGTCTGATCCAGCAGAGATCTTCTTTGGTTCTTAACAAAAAGAAAGTTAATTGGACAAACAAATAATATCCGTTAAAATTCCAGGAGAAGGGAAGCGTTTTCAACTGGTGCTAAAAAGGCAGAGTCAAGTCCAGCCAAGTTTATTAGGGAAGGTGGGATATATATGACTAACAACATGAAGATGCATCTCTGTTCATTTGTCCTTTGCTTTAAAATCTTTAATACTGAAGTCATGATAACTCTCAAAGTTTTAGGATTGACTTTTTGAGGTCTTTAGTGAGCACCACATAAATTACAATAGGCACAATGAGAAAACAGTGATGTGGTAGTAGTGGGCAATTGCACAAAAAGAAGAAGAAAAAGTAAAACTGATGTACATCCTAAGGAGTACACAAAATCAAGCTAGAATAATGGGGGGGGTGATATAACTGTATATCATTTCAGTCTTCTTTGACGTTTCATAACTTCAATCTTTGCTAGCATTTTCCTTTTTTTTTTTCTTTCAGGGAACACTGTCTATGTTGATGCATCTTCTCCAGGGAACTCCTGAGCATCTGCTGTGGAATTTCTGCATATTGCAGAGGATTCTGGGGAATTCTCAATAGTTTGTCTCAAGTCCATTTGAAGCTATACCCTGGTCCATTGGGCCTAGACGCCACCCTGACCCAACTGACCACATGAAACATGCCCTGCACCTGCCCCTCTCCTAGGCAGTGCATTATATGAGATAATCCATAAGTGTAGACATGTTACCTTTCAGGATTGCCAGAATTGCTAAAATTGCCCGGAGGGCCAGAACACACTTTTAAACCCACTGACCTGTGCAATCCTTCTACACATCAGAAATTTAGGGGCAAAGCAGACAGGATGTTAAACACAGTTGGCAAAAAAAGAGAGATAACTGTACATCTAGTTCCCCCTCCTACTTGCTGGATTCAAGCAATGTTAGGACACCGTAGGCAGAAATGTATGAGGGAAACCCCAGCGAAGCAAACAAGTGAGTTAAGCAGACTTTGGGGGTAAGTGGCCATGACTATAGCCCAGCTCTGTAAACAGTGAAGCAGAAAGAGATGTTAAGCATCTTTGTGAGTTTAGCAATATACTGAGGAAGCCAGTGCAGTCAAACATCCTACCACCTTGGTTTTTCTTTCTAATTCAAGAAGATTGCAATGTCAAGCAGGCAGCAGATACCCATAGTAAAGGTAAAGGTAAAGGGACCCCTGACCATTAGGTCCAGTCATGAACGACTCTGGGGCTGCGGCGCTCATCTCGCTTTAGTGGCCGAGGGAGCCGGCGTACAGCTTCCGGGTCATGTGGCCAGCATGACTAAGTCGCTTCTGGCGAACCAGAGGAGCGCACGGAAATGCCGTTTACCTTCCCGCTGGAGCGGTACCTATTTATCTACTTGCACTTTGACGTGCTTTCGAACTGCTAGGTTGGCAGGAGCAGGGACTGAGCAACGGGCGCTCACCCCGTCGCAGGGATTCGAACCGCCGACCTTCTGATCAGCAAGTCTTAGGCTCTGTGGTTTAACCCACAGCGCCACCCACGTCCCAATACCCATAGTAGCCCACTACAATTTGGGGTGAAAAAAATCTGGCCACATCCAGTAGAGATTACTTCAAGCAGATTAGTCCAATCTCAACCACTTTTTGCAAGTACAACCATCAGGACATTTCCCACCTAATGTTCAATGCATGTTTATGGGAGAATAAAAAAATAATCTAAGCTACAGCTTATGAATATAAAACCCCAGCAAATAGCTATTATAGACTAAGTAGTTATTCAACAGGAAGGACATATGTTATTATTTTTTGCATACTTGTTGTGAGGGATCAAACAAAATGCTGTATTGATTAAGTCCATTTACCCAGCAAGCCACCAAATCACTACTGAGTTCATGAAGTTCTTTGCCTACAATATGATTACTCATCCAGCCATAATGCACCCTACAGCTGGAACCACCACACCATAAATATCAAATTCCATTTCCTGTCTGAGCTCCACCCTCTTCCACAAAGCATTCCTTTAATCCCAAGAATCTCCAGTTCTACACTCCTAACCAATTAGCATCTTCCAATCAATGTTGCATTAGCAAATTCAACCCTTATTCACATTTATTGTGTGATCAGATCCTACAATACATTTAAACTGTAAGTTGCCCCACTGTGTTCAGGGGAACTTGCTCTTAAATTTGCACAGGATTACAGACTGGTTCGGGGACGTGGGTGGCGCTGTGGGTAAAAGCCTCAGCGCCTAGGGCTTGCCGATCGAAAGGTCGGCGGTTCGAATCCCCACGGCGGGGTGCGCTCCCGTTGCTCGGTCCCAGCGCCTGCCAACCTGGCAGTTTGAAAGCACCCCCAGGTGCAAGTAGATAAATAGGGACCGCTTACTGGCGGGAAGGTAAACGGCGTTTCCGTGTGCGGCTCTGGCTCGCCAGATGCAGCTTTGTCACGCTGGCCACGTGACCCAGAAGTGTCTCCGGACAGCGCTGGCCCCTGGCCTCTTAAGTGAGATGGGCGCACAACCCCAGAGTCTGTCAAGACTGGCCCATACGGGCAGGGGTACCTTTACCTTTACCTTACAGACTGGTGAACTCACCAACCTTTGAGCCCAATCTGGAGAAACTGTCATGGGCAGCATGCAACAAAGCACACACCAAAACTAATTCTACTGACTACAATCTAATTTCAGTGGGAGGATGGGGCCATGTGGGGGCCAAGGAAGACCTATCCTGGTCCAGCCATGGGCACAAAACTGGCGACTCCTGAACTATACTGATGGTGCTCAAACAAATGCCAGTAGCTGGATGTTATTGGTATGAGCTTTCATGTGCATGTACACGAAAGCTCATACCAATAACAAACTTAGTTGGTCTCTAAGCTGCTACTGGAAGGAATTTTTTTATTTTGTTTCGACTACGGCAGACCAACACGGCTACCTACCTGTAAACAGTAACTGGATGTTACTCTGATTCTATTGATACTTAACTGTTCACTATGCAACCTGTCATTTAGTTTTAATAGCAGCCGGTTACTAATTTAATAAGCTGTTTGATAAGCAAGAAGCAGCGACTTGCACACAGAACAAAGCCAGGAGGTAATTAGCCAATATGCTTTCAACAGGTCTAGGGCTGTCCCACATACATCTTTCAATACTTAAAAGTATCAATACTTAAAAGTATCTTTCAATACTTAAAAGAAACTTACGGTACATGTGTGCAGGATCATTCACATAATAACATAGTTGGGAGCATCAGTCACATGGATTCAATTGAGGGCGGGACCAACACTTTCAACACTCAGAAATTTCAGTCTATTTTTATTTTTTGTCAAGGGCAGCAATACAAAGTAAATATAGCATTGATACTAGAAACAATTCATACTGAGGAAAGCACAGAAGGAGTAAAATGCATTTTGGGGAGGTGGGGAGCTTTGTCCCACATGTTGGTTTTCTAAAAAGAGAAATAACAGTATATTTAAGTAACATTTGGCTCCCATCAAAAAAATATTTCCCCTATAGGAAAACCTATAGATTTTTATTATTATTTATAATTATAACCAATAAAGAAAATATAAAACGCCTAGAAAAGAACCTCTATAACCTAAAATGCACTTGTGTATCGACTCATAAAATACACTATATATAATCTGATTTGTAAAAAAAATAGACACAGCATTACAAAAACCACCTTTTGATTGAGGAAGTAACAAGTATTCAATGAATTGCTTCCAATATCCATATCTATCTATCTATCTATCTAGACTAGGAGCAACTGTCTTTGAAAGTAAAAGAGAGAAAAAGACAAGCGAGTTAGCTTTCAAGGAAGCTTATTTGATACCGTTTAGGGCTAAAGAAAAGTGCCTTTCCTTGCACACAGGGGTCCAGCAAGAAGGGCGGCGGAGAAAGTGGGCACGCACCGTCTATGAGGGAAATATACTGTATTCCGTTTTCACGTGGAACACCCCCGCCCCGCCCCTCGCCATAAGCGGAAGGCAGGCAGGTGGGACGTTATTACGGCACCAGAGCAAGGAGCTTGGGAGCCCTTCCTCACTGCAGCCTCGCCGCTAACCGAGCAAAGCAACCACCACCACCGACTTACCGGGCCTCCGTCCCGCTCCATGGCTCTCCTCTTGCCCATGCAGACGCCGAGCAGCGACAAGACGCGGCCGGGCGGCGCGCGCTCCCTTCCCCCTACCGAGCGCACGAGTCGCCAATAGCCGCGCCGCCTCCGCGCGCACCTCCAAAGCGCATGGAATCGTTCGCGCTCCCGCCGCCGCCCAATGGGCAGAGAGAGAAGACGCGGCGCCGGAAGAGCCAGAGAGGGAGGCGTGCGGCGTGTAAACAGCCTTCGCTCCACAGCGCGCGCGGTTCTGGGAGTTGTAGTTCTTAAGGGGCGCCACGAAGTTTAACTCAGGCTGTAGACCCGTTGGGGAGAAAAACAACAACACTCTCTCTTCATGTTCTCAGTGGGGTGTTTACTGTGCAGAGAATGCAGACCATGTGCCCAGTCCGTTCCTTGCAGGTAAAAAGGCACCGCCTCCCAGGCCATTGTCAGTCGGCCCTGCAGGCAGCAGCCGTCCCTGAGGGAAGCCCTCCAGCCCGCTAACATTATTTGGCAAAGGAGCGCTCGACGCTGCCTGCTCCTCTGTGCCAGCAGCTGCCCGCCAGGCAATCCTTAGTAAAGGCCACGCTCGCCCTGCGTTATAAGGATTGTGCCTGAAAAGCGAAGCGCCGCCTGCATTTTGCATTCCCGACCGCTCGCGTTCTGGCACGTAGCGAGCGAGCGAGCAGGGCCCAGGTCTCCCTCTATATTGCCTCCCACAGCCCTTTGAATGTAGGGCTGATCACTGCTAGAGCAGACAGCAACTCCTCCTCAGTTTATCCAGGGGAATTCAGTGGAGCTTGCTAAGTAATATTTGGAAAATGCCCCTAAGGGCTGCAAACAAGCAAGCGGCCACCTTCGACTACAGAGCTAGGCAGAAAGTGGACCGGGATTTTACTGATAGATCTCTGGGTGATTTGAAGCAGGTCGCAAGGGTTTTTGACTCGTTGATAACAATGGCAGCAACAAAATTACTCTCTCCCTCCAAAATACATACATACATATCTACTGAAATAAGAAAGCTGTGTGCGGGGAAAACCTGGAGTTTTGTGTAGAAGGACTGTGAGTTCAGTTCTATACTGACACTCAGAACAAATTCCTGGGTTGTGGGCTCAGAAATGACAGCTCTCACACTAGTTTGCACAAATTAGATATTGCACAAATATCTAAATGGTATAACAGGGCGCTTGTTGTTGATAGCTTTAGCAAAATGCTCAGAGTATATAATTTACTGTACATATATTACTAATATCTATTACTATACTAATACATCTATATCTATATCTATTACTAACTTACATTACTAACAGTGAACTCATTCTCTTGAGTGTGAATCCTTATGTAGACAAAATGGCATTATCCTCACACAAGGACCTAACATAAGGGCTGAGGAAACTGGGAGGTTTGCATAAACAGAAACAATATTTAGAAAAATAGAACCCTAAAAGCGGGCTGGGGCAGCCGCTCACTGACAGAAGGGTGGAGCACTACAGAATCAAAAGTGTTTTAAAGGTATGTTTTTGGTCTCATTTATTATTTATCTTTTAAACAAATAAAATGTTTAGTTTGAGGAACTCTGAAAGACAATTATGTCATCTTAATCATTCTTTCTTTCCAGTGTAGCCCAGTGCTTTTTTCTGGGGGATATGCAGGGGTACGCATGCCCCCTAAACATTTTGTGAATCTTTGTACTTTTGTCCATTTACTGTATTTATTTTTCATGATTTGAACTATAAAATGGTGTTTTTCTTGAGTCAAAATGAGAGAACCCCTAAACTTTTTTTTAAAGAAAAAAAGCACTGGTGTAGCCTACACCTCAAGTTAAACTAAATTCAGCAGCTGATTCAGGCTGCATTCTCCACCCCCCCCCCAATTCCAATTTTTGGGAATATAGCCAGACATCCCTCCCCCACATAATTGGGGTGTTTTCTCTCAGTTAAAGCGTTACACCTAGAATTGCAGCTGCCTATGGTTGCCTGTTAGCACCTCCCTCCCCCTGTAAAAATAGCGAAATGCTTGCTTCTTGCCACAACACAGATAGAAAACAACCTAATGCTTGCTCAGTAGATCTCACTGTATGAGGACAAACTTGTTATCCAGCACCATTCTCGATAAAAGGCAGCCAAGAATCACGGTCACCACCTGATTTATTTCAATTATGGGACCCTGAGGCCTTCCAGATGTTGTAGACTTCAACTCCCATGGCTAATGATCAAGGATGATGGGTGACAGAGTCCAACATCAACTGAAGAATCAAAGGTTCCCAACTTCTGGCTGATTCAGACTCTCATTCCCAACAGCCTGTGTTTGAATTGCATAACAGGGCTTTGTACTTTTTGGATACTACTCTCTTTTGTAGTCTGAGCAGCCGAATTCTCACTCTTTCTTGAATGAAAAGTACTGAGATAAATTTCTAACCTATGTATGCTCCTTAAAAATAATTACAATTTTTATTTAAACTGTGTCTTGAGGGAACAGCATCAGCTTGCAATGGAATTAATGTGAAGGAAGGGGGAAGCAGGAGTAGTATCTTGCCAGCTTCCTTAAGTTTTCCAGAAAACTGCATGAGGTAGGGTAGTGCTTTTCAACCTTTTTGGTATGATCCACAGGTCCAAATTTACTTTGTATTTACTGACCCAGTGATTTATTGTCACATTAATTTTGGACCTTAGCTCTTTGGCAGCCATCACTTTTATGCATTTTAAGTGAGGCTTTGCCGGCTTTATAACCATCCAAGCAAAAATTGTTCTTGATGCCCCCATTAATGTGGAATTGTTGAACTATTTATAGTACTTACAAATTCAATCAGGTGTGTTTTTTTTATGAGAATGTAAGAACACCAGTCATGACTTCAGAATATTGCTTCATAAACCATACAAATGTATTCTATAAACATACCAAAGTGGTGTTAGATGAAACTATTAAAAATGTTCAGTTTGTCATCTTTTCATTCACGGTCAACTCTGTTTTGGCAAGTATTGGTGGGATCCCTAAAGCTTGCATTTTGCCAATGTGTACTCAATGTGGGACCTGAGATTTCATCTTCATAGCAGTCATTGCTTGAAAACCTCTGGCAAAGGTACGGGCTACCAAATGGCAGCAGCAAAGGTACTGTTTCATTAGCAAGCTCAGGATACTCACTAGTGAGTAATTTGGTGATATAAAGCCAACATTAAGTTAATTTCAGTCCCCAAAAAATATTGTTGAGTGTCCTATCATATGACAGTTCAAGAAGTTATTATCCTTTTTGCAGAGTGTCTGCAAACACCATAGAAGTTTAAAGCACATTTAAAGCATGTTCACAAAAAGAATCCTGGTAACTGTGGTTTGTTAAGGTTGCTGGGAATTATAGCTCTGTGAGGGGAAAACTAGTTTCTATTATTCTTTGGGGTAGTGTGTGTGCTTTAAATGTATAGTATGAACACAGCTAAATACAACTTTGTGATATCAGTTGCAAATGTGTTTCACACACATTCACACTTCTGATTCTTCAGCAGACAATTTGTGGACAAATGTTGGCTAAGCAAACTCAAATACCTTTGGCTAAACTATTAGTTACCGTAACCCTGGTGGTAGATCTGATGATGGTTCACCATAAGGTGCTCATACAAGTTGTTCTGAGTATTACAACTTGCCTCTGATGCGTAGATGCCACGTTTTCTGACCCACTGGTTGGGAAATACAAGTAGGGAGTGATTCAACATACTCTTTTTTGCAGTGATAGCAAGCAAGGTAGACTTTTTAGCTTGCTTAGCAATGCCTGTGATTCTGTTTTAGGGCCCATTTTGTCAGTGGATTTCTAAAATATGTAACGTGGGGTCTCAAAATGGTTTGCATGTCACATCGACTGATGTGTCAAAATCTGAAAGACATTATTCCTAATTTTAGATACGTGGAGGATGGTTGTAATTATTTTGTGGAGCATATGGTCTAACTTTTTGTTTTTTTCCTTCAAATATCTGAGGTTGAGCCACTGAGTTGAAAATAGGTTCCACTGCTAAGATGTGGTGGGCTTTCTCTTAAACTCCTATATTTTGTCTATAGAGCTAAAATAATTAGCTTTTGGGGTTTTAGAGGAGGAAAGGGACTTGAGGTTGTTTCCAGCTTCTACTTAAAACATTAAAATCAATGCACCTACATTAACAACATTAACCAATTTCAGCGAGTCTGCTCTGAATAGAACCAAGCTGAATGCAATCCTTGGTTTTGAGAAGTGTGTTTCCTGGCATGTAAGGTTTTGATTTTTGGCACTGAATGGGTGTGTTCCAATAAATGTGCCTTAATTTTTCCATAATTAATTTCTAAATGAAAAATGCTGGAACTCACCTTTGTCTGAAAGCTGTTTGTGCCCTTCCACTCCCATCTAATGAGGGGTACGAAACAGTTCCTTTCACAGGAGGGAGGCTGAGGCACTCAATTCAAGTTTAAAGGGACATTTTCATTTGTTAATACTATTTCAGTTCCGATTTGGGTAAATGAAATGAAATTAAAAATGACAGGCCCTCCACTTTACTAGCTGCAACAGTGAGAATAGTACAATCCTAAATTTGTCAATTTAGAAGCCTCACCAAGTTCAGTTGCAGGTAAATAAATGTGTATGGGATTGCATCTTAAATTATGCAAAATGCATGGATATAAATTACCATAACCAAATGATATATTTCTGGCTACACATTACTTGCCTTGTTTTAATCCCCATTAGTTCCAAGGTAATCCACGAAGACTACAATCATATATATACTTCCCTGCCGGTCCCATTTAGTTTATGACTGAGAAGACATGCACAGTATTGCTCTGCCAAGCAGCATTAAAGTTCAAAACACAGCTGGTTCTTCAGCTAAGTGGTCTCATTGGCTATAATGCAAGTTTGCAATAAATGAATGCCTTTGAAACTTGATCCCATTAAGGTTATTCATAGTACCCTAAACACAGGTACAAGTTGTCTGTCTACACATGTACAAGTGTTTGCATTGATTCATGCCGCCCAGCTATTTACAGAGATTATACACTCATTGAAAGTAACATGTAATCACCCTGTTATGTTTAATGATCCCAATGCAATTAGTAGGTTAACTTTCAAATAAGTGAGCATATAATACAAAGCTTGTAAAAAGTGAGTTTCACGGTTTTGTACTCAGTTATTCCTACCTAAATCCAAATTAGGATATTTTCCCCCTAAGAGCCAGTAAGTGCTGTTTTTTTGTTTTTGTTTTGTTTATCCTATTCTCTCTCTTTTGTCTCCAAGTATCTCAATTGCATCATAGCTAAAGCAGGTCAGTCATAACTTTGTAGTCCTACAATCAACAGACCCAGAGAAAGAAAAAACCTGCCCTGTCTTTTGCTCTTTAGGAAGAATCAGAACTCAATTGGAGCATTCATTTTGTATGCAGGCAGTTTCAATCCCCAACATCTACTGATAGGGCTGGGAGAGGACCCCACCTGAAACTCATGCTACTTATGCTCACTATCGACAATACAGAACAAGATGGACTAATGATCTGACCCTGTTTAAGGCACCTTCCTAGGCTCCTGTGTTATTTTCCTGCATGTCAAGCTTCTATTATCAGGAGGAATGAGTGCATTCTACATTTTTTTTGTACCAACAATTAGAGGTAACATTTGAAGCAATGACCATGATTGTCTACTGTTGCCATCTTTGTACTGCTCTTGCTCATTTACCTTTTAAGAACCTGATACAAAGAATGCCTCTTGTTACATGTACACCCCCCCTCAATCACAAGAAAACTGCAACAAGTTAAAAAATGGCAGTTCTGCATGCCAAACACACCAATTCCCACGAGGTCCATGTGAGTATAGTTAAGGTTGAAGTAGTCCTTGAAAACTAGGTGGAGGTGGTACTCCTGCTCTGCAGCCCAGGTGTACAATAATTTTCATACATATGAGAATTTATGATATCCCTATTATGGATAGTATATTTTGCATTCTTGTACACAATGAGAATTCAAGATTAGGAGCTGTGGTTATTTTGCTCAAGGTAACTAGCAAAAGCATGAGAATTAAGGCAGGCTGGATGGTTAGGGAAAAGCCTGTTTCATATATTTTTAACATCTGAAGTTATTGCTACAGAAACCACCTATAGTTCAATCTCCAATGTAGGTTTGCCTTTTTTCTTTTTCTTTTAATGATGGCTTCTCTGAGTGTTGCTGTCATGGCTGAGGCGTTGCTGAATAATTTCAAGATTTCCAAGCTTGCAGCTTAGGTGAAAGGACCTTCTGGTCCTCCACCTGTTGCAAAACTACAGCTCCCATCATCCCTGGCCATACTTGTGGGGGCTAATAGTTGAAGTAAATAAAATTAGAAAAGAAGTGTCTTACTATGGTCAAATGGCTTGTAGACCAAGAAGATGTCTATGCATATGCATTTCTGAGGTAGGGAAGTTGCATTCCTGACATTATTGCAGAAGAGAAGGAAAATGCACTTTATATTTCTGCATGGCATGAAGAGAGCTGAAGTCAGTCAGAGGTGCACACTGGAGACAGGGAGTGGGCTTCTGGATTTGCTTAGGTTTTTCCCAAGAACTTCACATTTAGTAATCACCTTCCTACTTCTTCACCCTTTGCTGCCTAAGAGATAGTAACCTCATTCTGCCTAACTACAGGACACAACATTTTAAATTCTGGGATAGTGTTTATCATTGCAGATTACAAATAAAACATGACAAGCTGCATGTTGTGAAAGCTAGACCCATCTGCATACCAGATAGATATGAGAATTTTCTGTTTTAATAAGATTTAGACCCAAAGTATCTCTTTAATGGCAGTACACCTCCACTGATTTGCAGAGCTGTAAGCTCTTATTTCCTGTAAAGGCACTGCAAGTTTGCTACAGAAGAATGCACTGAGTGTCAGATTAACTCACCCCCCTTTTTTTTAAAGAAAGGATGAGGCAAGTCAGTCTATAGAAACTTGATGTAATTTCTATCCTAAAATTAAGAGGGATCTTTTTCAATCCACTGAACTGTGGATCTGCTATATGGCTTTAGGGACACTGTGTTTCTCTGTCATTTTACTCTGCGCTTCAATTCTTATGTAGAAATCTGCTCACTGTTTTTATAAAATCCTGGCTGGATTTCATTATACTTAATATTTTGTTTGCAAGCATCTGTTATAAATGCTGTAAGTGAGTGTTAGTTCTAATTCATCAGTTTTGAATGAGCATTTGGCTCAAGAACTGGAAAGCAATTTCATTTTATACATGTATGTGTGTGAGCATGCTTGTGGGAAAAGGATTTAAGCTAATAAATTTAAAACAACCTAACAAGGAGACAAAGAATGATGCATAGAGTGACAGTACAAAAACACGGTGATTATGAAAATTCATAGAAGATAAAAATAAAAGCTGTAGCTGGTGATGTGCCATCAACAATTGCAATTTAAAAATGGAATTTTGTATCTCCAAAATCTACTGAAGAACTACAATTTCAAATTTATCACACTGAGCGCACTGCAACTTTGCACCTTCACCAGGACAGGAAACACTCTAAATACTCATAGGACTGTAGATGCAGAGTTCATCCTAAAACTAAAGCCTCTGGCAACGTTATTACCTACAACAATTTTCTATGAGCCACTTTTATTGTATTTTTGCAACACAAATAATTGTACATTATCCTGAGTTTTATCATCTGTGATAATATGTATTAAATTTTACTTCTTTCACTGTACTTTCCATCCAACCTGCGTTGCCTTGTTTATCTACTGTTCTAAAATAGAGTTTGTCAGGGCTAAGGCTAGAGCCTGACTTTGAAACTAAGCCAATCCAGAAAGGGCTATAACAGGCGGAGAAACATTTAGAAGACCTTGTATGTAGTAGCTCAGATAAGCACCAAACTTGCAGGAATTCTGTAGTACTTAATAATGCAAAACCTTCCTCAAACTCTCAGGACCATCCGCTTCAGCAGAAACAAAGATGCATCTACAGTAGTTAAATGTTAACTACACAAAACACTGTATGTGTAGCTAACTATTTCTCCATCTAAGCTTGTGGGCATGACCAAAATCGGACCACCAAATTGCTGCCCCTGGATGGCACTCATTTATAGAGGGAGGCTCAGTCTTCACAGCACTCATCTAATTAAATTAGAACTGCTGGTGTCAGAGCAGACTGCCATGCTTATAATTTGCCTGCAATCACCACAAATTCCTCAGGTCGCCTTGCATGCCAACCCACTGAATTGTGGAATGGTGTCTTGAGACTTCTGTTCCGATAGTCAAACCCTGGGCAGTATTCTGGACTCTGGAGGTTCTTTTGAGGATCAAGTGCTGTCCAGGTCAAATATGCAGACAGCATCCCACCTAGATATGAAGAAAAGTTTCCATAGCACAAGTAGAAGCAAATATAGTGTCACAGCAAAATGGACATTGATCATCTTCATCTTCATTACAGCCTAAAATACGCATGTTTCAAAAAAACACATAATGGTATGTTACTATACATAAAATTGATCGCCGTAGTTTTTTGTTTTGCAAAAGCATACCATCTTCTTTCCCCAGTTTAAAATAAGCACCAATTGAAGGGGAAAAGAAGAAGGGAAGCATAAAAAAATCAGTCTGTCTCACACAGTTTATTTAACAATAGGTAATAAGAAATCAATTAACAGTCTATACAGTGATCGAAAGTTCATATTTATAAGTAATCAACTTTAATTGCATGATTTACAACATTTGAGGGTTTTTTGCTTTCTATTTTCAAGTTTTACAGAAAATGGAAGAGGAGGAAATGGGAGGGGAGGGATAGAGAAAGCAAGCATAAAGAAGAAACCCCAGGGATTTACTCTCAGGTTAAAATTATACCCTTGGAATAGTTTCTTACCCTCTTTATTTTTTCCTTTGTTAGATGTAAAAATAACGAAAAAAATTCTTTCAAGAAAACAAAACCACAATATATATACTACATCCATTTGGCAGCTGCCCCGTGTATTTGCAAAAAGTTGTCTTCTCTCTACATGTACAAATTTTAATACTTGAAGTTTAAGCTCAGACTCTGGTATAGAAAATTCTTGGAGGACAAAAGTAGACTTCAGGAGGGAGACTGGGTTACTTAATAATTTTTACAGTTTTTAAAAGAATTGACATCTTTCCAACCAAAGAGGAAAAATTGGTATTTATCTTTAATATATATTTTTATATATTTATATATATGCACTGTATTTTAAAGCAACATTCACCCTTTTTGTCCTCCAGTTTTAGGAAATGTTCTGTTTTTTCTGTTTTTCTTTTTTTCTTTTTTGCAGTAGGCATGAGAAAAACCAGAATAGGGAAAAAAGTTAACCATCTGCCTCAGTAAATTATAACTATCAATATTACATATTTTCATTAATTTAAAAAAAAAATAAAACCTATTGGAGGCTAGAGAAGGAAGCCATTTGGTCAGCAGCCAAATAACTATCCCCTCCCAAGCACCTCCCCAACGCACGCGAAGGGAAAACAAAAACAAGTAAAAGGACTGGTTATGACCCCAGCCATAACAAAAATATATTTTCTTTGTATTCTATTGTCCCTCAGGTTCATTTTGTTGGTTTCTCATTTTTAAAACCACAAACTACTGCTGCAGAGTTCAGATGTATTCCAGGGAAAAATGTTCTGCTAAGAAAGATTCAAAAAAATTGTCTTCAGTACAAAAAGTCTTGAGAAAATAAGTTTTTTTTGCTCCCAAAATGCTACAGTGTGTCTTAGTGTATGTCTAGTGTACTCTGTGAAAGGTTTGAATTCAAGTCTGAATTATCTGAGCCGAGTCCCAGTTCTGTGGCACTTGCACCATGGAGGCCTGCCATGCCTGGATTGCTAGCAAGCTGAGAAAGCATTGCACTCTGGTCCGGGCTGGCAAAGTGCCCTTGATCCATGGGGTTAGCCTGGGCAGCTACCAGTCCTGGATGAGGGGAGCTGGTCTGCGGGGAGACGTGATGTGGAGAAGGTTGTGGCTGCATCCTAGGGGACGGACTGGAGTGGGGTGGCTGGGACTGGGGACGTGGTGAAGGGACAGGCTGTGGAGAACGCACTTGATTGGTGAGCGATGACGGAATCTGCTGGCCTTGTAAGTGTGGGGACTGGGCCTGGCTAGGGAGCATGTGCTGTTGGGGACTCATAGGATTGGGCTGAGCTGGTGATCCCATCTGCTGCTGAAGTAGCCTCTGCTGGAACACTTGCTGCAAACTGGATCCCGTCTCTGCACTCATCGCTTGTGGAAGCTGGCTCATTTGTCCCATATTCCCTTGTTGCATTTGCTGCATGTGATGCTGCATCCGCTGTTGTTGCTGCTGCTGCTGCTGCTGCTGCTGCTGCTGCTGAGAGTACCCAACTCCCTGGGGCTGCTGGAACTGATTATGGTTGGCCATGCCAGGCCCCAGCCCTGGTCCTGCTCCCTGACGCTGCTGCTGCTCCATCAGCTGCCGTCTCATTAGGATTTCCCGAAACTGGGGAGACATGGTTGCTGCAGGATTCATGTTCATTTGCTGTGCCTGAGGATTCATCCCGCCCATGGCCTGCTGGGGTGGTGGCTGCTGGGGTGGCGACTGCTGGGGCATGCTGGGCCTCTGGACGCCTGCTTGCATCGGATTCATATTTTGCATGCCTTGATTGGGATGCACACCTTGCTGTCCTGGCATGGCCTGCTGCTGCATCCCTGGTTGCCCTTGAGGCATCCCAGGCTGTCCCGGCATGCCCTGTGGATTCTGGTTCCCCACATACTTGGCAGCCCTCTGCTTGATGAAAGCAGCTAACAGCTGAGGGTTGGAGTGCAGGATGTTAAGCACCTGCTGCTGCTGCATGGGAGAGCTGGGGGACCTGAGAGTCCGCAGCAGGTTTTGTAAGGCTGCCTGGGGCACAGAGCTTTGCTTTGACGGAGCAGCGCCAGGGACCTGACCCATTCCTGGCTGCTGCGGTGACATACTCATCTGCTGCCCAGCCTGGCCCATTGACATCATTGGTCTCTGCATTCCTGACTGCAGCTGCTGAGGTTGAGGCAAGCCTCCCTGGGCCCATGCGGGCTGCTGCTGAATTCCTGATGGTCCCATCCCTTGATCTATGTGGCCCCCGGGACCTCTGGCCATCTGAGGTGGTGCTACACTCATAGGCTGTATTTGATTCATCTGGGGCATCTGGTGTTGAATTGGCCTCTGGAAAATTGGATGGGCCATCTGCCGCTGGTGGTCAGCTACTCGCTGGATCTGCATGGCTATTTCCACGGCAGCTGCAGGGGGCCCCGGCATAGGTGGCTGAGTAGCCTGAGGAGTTGTTGGAGGAGTTACCTGGCCACCTGCCTTGCCTTGGGAGACAGCTCCAGGAGGCTGAGTTCTTGACATGCTATATGGAGGCATGTTATTGGGAGGTACGGGTTGTGGCTGCGAGGCATGCTGGGGTGGAGGCTGCGGCTGTGGGGTCTGAGGAGTTGGTGGCTGCTGGCCTGTCGGAGTTGTTGGTGTGGCTGGTGTTGGCGAGGGCAACCCTTGCTGCTGGCCTACTATGCCGGTCCTCTGCATGCTTGCCACCCTCCTCCGGAGCATCTGGGCCTGCTGCAGGCGGTGCTGAAGCTGCTGCTGACGAAGCTTGTGTTTGATGTTGAGGCAAAAGGGCACTGGGCACTTGTTCTCCTGGCAGTGCTTAGCATGGTAGCAGCAAAGAGCAATGAGCTGCTTGCAAATGGGGCACCCTCCATTGGTTTTGCGCTTGCAACCTTTGGTGTGCTGGACGACCCTCTTCATCTTCTGGCAAGACGGCAATGAGCAGTTGGCATTGCGGCACTGGCAGGCATGGACCAAAGACTGGATGCAGCGCTGGATGCTCAGGCGACGTGAATCACCAGGACTCTGCGTAGTGGCTGTCTGTTGGTTGTTGCTTTCATCGTCGATACCAAGGCCCAGTTTCTCCATCTTGTGCTCATGGTTTTTAGAGTTATAGCAGGTGATACATAAGTCATAATCCTGAAAACAGAAATGATCAGTCAGATAACTGGCCTTATTCCCTGACAGAGGCACACATCTCTAAAAAATTTAATAGCTGATAAAAGATAGTCTTAATTAACAATGCAATCTCAAAATGCTAATGATGATCTGTCCAAGGAAAAAAAACCATGGAAATTGGAAAGGCATAAACAAGTATTCACTGAAAACTATGCAATGACTATCAGCCAAAGTGGCTCAAGTGTCAGTTCTTAGGAGAAGAACAGCAAGACTGATATGGTGAGCAACAAAAGTGAAAGGTTGCTCCCATCTCAGACAGATGCAGACTTGAAACAGGCCAGGAGTCACCAACCAGTGACTGGTAGCCCCATAAAAAGGTCCTAAGTTCTGAGTTTTCATATATTTATTTTTAAAAAGAAATCGCTAGACAGCCTAGAAAGTTAACGAGGAAAAAGTGCAGATATGTTGCTAAGCAATTTCTGTGAATAGTCAGCCTGACTTCTGCCACCTGTCAATGTTTTTAGTTTTTAGCCAATAAGTGAAGCCAGCTGTGATTAGTAAGTTAGGTAACAAGAACTACTTGGGTTCTGAAGAGCTGTTGTTTCCCATCTCCCTCAGAGCACTCTTCATGCTTATTTTCTAGTAGTCCTTGGAATCTCTGTAATTTGCCATTTCTTTTTCCCTAGCAACCATAATGCATCTTTCCTATGGTGAATTCATCTGAGATCAGGTAATCCCTAAAAGTTATTTTCTCAAATACTACTACACAATGAATGTGGGTAGATGTTGAAAAATCCCCCTGTCTCCAAAAGGAAAATCTGAAATCTTTGCAAAGTGGCTTAAGTATGTCTTCTGCTTTGCAGGAGGTAAAGAACAAGCACCTACTAAGAATGGCAGTCAGAAGTTTGAGTCCCTTTGTGTTTAATGGGCTTTACTCCCAGGTAAATTGGTATAGGATGGCAGCCTAGGCTTTGGTCTAGGGTTGAAAAATGGGGGGAGGGAGCACTGTTGTGCCTTTAATAGCTTTATGGTAGGCAGAAATTCATCAGGAAATACAATTACAGTGGTGCCCCGCAAGACGGAAAACCCGCTAGACAAAATGGTTTTCCGTTTTGGACGCGCTTCGCAAAACAAATTTCCCAATGGGCTTGCTTCGCAAGACGACAGCCCATAGGGAAATCTCCGGGACAGCGGGGAAGCGCAGCCGCCCGGCTTCTGAAGGCTCCTCCGAAGCCGGGCGGCGGGGCGGGAACATCTCCCCCCACCGCCCGGCTTCTGAAGGATGCTCCGAAGCCGGGTGGCGGGGCGGGAACATCTCCCCCCGCCGCCCGGCTTCGGAAGGCTCCTCCGAAGCCAGGCGGCGGGGCGGGAACATCTCCCCCCGCCGCCCGGCTTCTGAAGGCTCCTCCGAAGCCAGGCGGCGGGGCGGGAACATCTCCCCCCGCCACCTGGCTTCGGAACGATGCTCCGAAGCCGGGCGGCGGGGCGGGAACACCTCCCCCCGCCACCCGGCTTCGGAACGATGCTCCGAAGCTGGGCGGCGGGGCCGCAAAGCCTGGGCGCGCTGATCTCCGCGAAGCCTGTCCAGGACAGCTTTTGAAGGCAGGTGGGGGGGGAGCAAAGACTTTTGCCCCCCGCCCGCCTTCAGAAGAGGTCCTGGACCTCTTCTGAAGGCAGGTGGGGGGCAAAAGTCTTTGTCCCCCCTGCCTGCCTTCCCAGGGGCTTTTAAATCGCCCCGGACAGCGGAGAAGTCCTCTGCTGTCCTGGGGCAATTTTAAAATGCCGCCCGCCAGCATTTTAAGATCGCCCCGGACAGCGGAGAAGTCCTCCGCTGTCCCGGGGTTTTTTAAAATGCTGGGGGTGGGAAGAAAAGCCCTTGCCCCCCCCCAGCCTTCAGAAGAGGTCGGGGGACAGACTGTCCCCGGACCTGGTCTGAAGGCGGTTTCCATAGGAACGCATTAATTGATTTTCAATGCATTCCTATGGGAAACCGTGCATCGCAAGACGAAAAACTCACAAGACAAAGAGACTTGCGGAACGAATTAATTTCGTCTTGCGAGGCACCACTGTATAAGAAACTTCACAATTACTGTACTTTCTCTAATCTTGTGTTATGACATGCCCCCATGGCTGCCATTTTGTCACTGGTACCCACAACACTCTCAAAATTTGAAATGTGTCCATTGTTCCAAAATGGCTGATGATCCCTGCCTCAGGCAAACAGGGACCCTAACAAAAAAGGGCCTTAAGGAGAATACATTTTCATCACTTTTTTTGGCTGTAATATCCTAAGAAAGCTCTTTACTCTGAAGCAGAGCCCTGTTAAAATGGAAGCGTAAGCTATAAAGTATTTTGGTAGTCACAACATAAATATCAAGACACTGGAGTAGGATAGCAAGGAATATTTACTTTTAAAATGTCCTAATATAAAACCTAATATTGCAGTAGACAACACTAATGAAACCCTCCACTTCAGTTCCAAAAACCTCTTCATGATATAAACCTCTGAATATTTGTATAACAAATTATTTCACCAGTGGCGAGACATACCTCACAGACTGTGCAGTGCCACCTTGTTTCCACGTGGTGTTTGCACTCATTGCAGGTATAAACAAAACGATCCTGGCTCTGAGTATGAAGCTCTACCAGCATGCACATGGTTGACCACATTGCCCTTCGTAGTGAGGAAAACTCAAGGTGTTTGTCTCTAGCAAGGGTGAGGAAGGCATCACGCCCATCCATTAAGTCGCACGGAATGAGTGGGTCAGGTTCAATGATGGGAGGCAGGGAATTGGCTTGAGGACCAGCAATGAGACGGATCACAAAGAATACCTGAAAAAGAGAGTAGTGGATTTCAGGCTTTATTCCAAGAGGTTTGATTCATCACCCTTAACTATACAATGCCTTCTGTTCTCTGTCTTTCAGTCTCATTGTGGAGTCTGAAGTAGTCAACATGCTCCGAACATCAGGAACAAGCCACAACTGTTCTGTATTTTGTCAAGTTTATTGCAGGATGGGAGCAGCAGCAGCAGCAGCAGCAGCAGCGCAACTCTAGCCCCTCTGTACTTCCTTGGCCCAGTGTTGTAGAGAAAAGAGCTGGGCATTAGGCAACAAGTGCCATCAACCTTATTCTCAATGTCTCTGGGCCCCACCCTGCTGTACATTTCAGGGGCCAGGCCCAGCAGCATTGAGAGTAAGAAATTACGGGACAACTAGCTGTCAAACTTGGCCTACAAGGAGCTGGAGAGATAACAATTTGGCTCTCTGGGCTAGAACATTTCCCACCCCTGCCCTAAAAGAAATACCTGAAATAGTAAAACACCTAGTTATAATACTTTGTGTTATACAAAGCAAATTCAGATTATTTGGTTTATAATGCTCCAATTTGTATGTTTAACTTCATTTACCACAACAAAACCAACCCAAAATCACTTGGCCACAATGGTGCCTCAACAACGTCAGCCTGATTGCATTTCCCAATGTGATCAGAATTGAGCATTTTCTTCAGTGTTTTTTTCCCAGGGGGTCCTCAAGGGTATGCAGTACCAGCACCTCTTTTGTTGTTGTTAAAAAGTGTGGCACTTACTGTAACAACTTCATGGTGAGTACTGGTGCCTATTTTTCTAGAAAAAAATCGCTTGTTTTCTTTCACAGTTTTTCCTTACTCTCACATGTGCTTGATAACATGCTCATAGGTTTACAGTATGCCTTAGAATTTGGCAAAAATGCTCAACTTTCCAATTTACAATACAGCCCTTAAAATATCTATATAGGTTTATTAGATATGAAAAGATTCTGTTTTTGTATATTATCTAAATACCCAGGAGAAATAAGATTTTAAAAAACCTTTTTAACACAAATAGAAACATGTATGCAACTACTTTCCACAATGCTCCACAGAGAATGTATGTGTGCAGCCTGCCGCTCATTTCAATACATTCCGTCAAAAGCCTCAGACCACTGGATTAAATTAACCAAGCGTCTAACTTGTGTGGCAAATGAAAAGAATATTATTATTTGGTCATAAAGTTCCCTCAGTCAACATGGAAGTAATAAACCCCCTACTTTTACAGTCCAAGGATATATTTCACTTGCACTTAGATGCTGCAGCCATTCAGACACTTTAAATATTGTTCTTACCTCCTTATGCTTTTCCATAGTGGCATACAGTTTCTGGGAAAGGTCGTTGGAGACATTAGGCATTCCAGGTTTCTTTTTATTACCACGACTCAAGCTGCTCTTATTTTTACTGGTCTTCTTATTATTTTTCTTTTTGGCGTTTTTGCTATCTCCTTTGCTGACCTGCAATGTGAATGGAGAATTGAGTCTAATTTGAAAATGGCAAGACACATTTGGTTCCCAAGAGTAAACAAGCAACCACCAAGAAGTCATTACAACACATCAATTATCCATCAGTCCCAAAAGCAAAGGTGGCAACTTAAGCCAGGTAAGGCACATATTCATGTCTTGATCTTATTCACACAAGAGGCAAAAACTATGGCAGCTAGAATGTTCTTCAGGCAATTTTAAGAAGTAATTCCTGAATGAAAACAAAATGCTGGGGGTTGGTTCCTTATTCCTTTCCACCAACAAACCTATTAGAAATTAATAACTAATTCTAGAGGGGATTCCTGAATCCTGGGTCCAGTTTAATATGCCATTTGTAGATTTTAGGAAAGAAATTTGTTGGGAAAACATGACTTCCTTACATCAGTGCTCTCATTGCTAGTGTTCTCTTCTCTCTTTCGCTCCTCTTCCTCTTGCTCTAGCTCCTTAATGCTCTCTTCTAAAACATTAGGCCAGAAGTCCCCTTCAAAGTAAGGCAGCTCTTTTGCACTTGTCAGACGGTCTTCTGTTGCCTGCTTAAAAATATCCTGCAACACAAAAGGTTTCTCAGTACACATCACATTGATGACAGCAGCAAAAGCAAAAATTCTCATGCAGAATATAATAATAATAATATTTGTACCATGCCCATCTGACTGGGTTGCCCCAGCCATGCTGGGACACTTTAATTCTTCAAAGTTGTTTTTCTTCCAGGATTCTTTTAAAAATAGTGCTGGTGTTTACGGTGCAAGTTTTTTTCTACCCACCAAATCTGAAATGCTTCATAAGATCCAAATGTTTCTCGGACATTACCTTTTAAGTACTGTTAGCTAAGCAGTATTCTAAAATATATTTTGACATTTTTCTCAAAATAAATTCCTGTTCCAGTATATGTAAGGGGCAAGAACTAAAGGTGATATTTAAACTAATTCACAACCAACCTTGTAATCATGCACTATGCGCTCTGACACAGATTTATCCAGCATCTTTTTGTACCACTCTTGCAGTCGTTTGGGTTTGGGTATCTTTTGGTCAGGAGGATGGCAATGGAAAATATAATCATCACCTTCACTAGGTGGGCAGGCCCATATATGTCCCGTTGTATACCTAATAGGAATTAAAGGAAAAAGTCAATACCATTAGTTCTGTTATTCATTATAGTGTTTCACTGTGTTGCCCACTTCATTTATCCATCTTTTCAGGAGCAAAAGTTTCTTTTACAACATCCAAGCAGAGCCAAGGTCAGCCTAGAAATATTGCATCTAAGGAGCAATGTATAAATGATGCAGATGACCTCTCCATCCAAGTTAACTGGTCAGACCCAAAACTGCTTAGCTTCAGAAACAGAACTGATTCATATACCTTTAAACTATTCTAAGGGATTCAGAAGCCTGATGTGGTAGCCAATGGAAAGAGCTTATTGTCCAACTCAACCCACCCAATCTCTGTTTGAAAACAGTTACAGGCTATGCTCAATAATACTTGCAAAACTGGGAGAAATCTGAGTTTTTAATGGTTTTATTAATATTGTTTTATTGAATTTAGGCTCCTTTTCTTTGGGGATGGAAAAATAGGTCAGATTTAGAATGCTCACCATTCTTTCTCAACTATTTTGCCCTATATACCCTCCCCAACCAGATGCTGGGTAGTTCTTTGTCCCTTCCATTTATCTATAATTCCTTGTGCAACTGCTGCACAACAGCCTTGTAAGGCAGACCAGTTGCACCTGAACTGTCTGGTAATCACTGCCAGCACCACTCCCTTTCAACACTTATGACTCCCCCAGATGGGAGGGGATTCTGGGGCGCTCAAGGAAATGCTAGGTCCTGAAGTCAACTTGTTCAGAATCTACCACTTATGCTTCTTCCCTTTGAAGCAACTTGACCAATATTTCCTGCTGCTTTATCAATTTCTACTTTAGCTTTGGCTTGTGTGCCCATTTCTACCATTATGGTTACAATTTAATGGCAGAATGCACCCTTTCCTCAGTCTTCTACAGCTTATCTTCTCAACAACCAATATGTGGCGGTCAGCAGCTTATAAATCTGTGACAGTTTATTTTGGGTAGCCAACTTCTATCTGCTTCCTTTGATAGCAAAGAACATTTAAGTAGAGAAAAGGGTTACTTTACCCAGGCAAGAATTATGTAGCAACTATGATTAAAAAAAGCAGAGAGAAACAACAAAACCCCATTGATACAGATCTTAAACTGTCCCTTTGCTTAGATTTCAAAATTTGTATAATCAGACACCTTTTTCACAACAGAGATATTTGTGGGACCTCTTTTTATAAGCATATCACTAATTATTCTACATTTTCTTCAAATCCACCCCACTTCCTCTGGCTTATTTCACTTTGTCATTTACTTAGTTTTGTCTACAATTTGGTTAAATTAATGCAGGTTAATCTAGTTAAATGAGACCTCTCACATCATGCTGGTTTTATTCATTTTCAATCAATCCACCCTGGTTTCTTTTCTCCCCCCCCCCCAGACACATTATCTCCTGAAGCACCTCATGCGCCAAAATTTCTACTCAGTGCTGGTGACTATCACTACATAAAATGAGACAAAGGCTCTTCCCTCAGATATACAAACTTTAAAAAAGAGACATTAAAGAAAATAATTCAGGGAAAAGGTAGAGACAGAAAAGAAGTTTTACACCATAGGTGGGTTATTTGACAGCAATTACAAGAGAGAGTCACATCACTGATCAATACAATAAAAGACAACAACATTTAAGACTATCTTTATTTTTGTAAGTCAGCATTGCAGGAATTGTTCTCCTTTAAAAACACTCAGATCAGACTGAAGCTGATCTTCTCTATATATGGACTTCTGCCCATACATTGAAGGGACTCAAAATGTACTGTACGGTTGCCACAAGCAACCTAACTGCATATTCTTCCTCATTAAGGTTAATTACTAATTGTGGGCACATCTATACCCACAATTTACTTCTGAAGATCTATCATTTTCAATCATTTGGGATAGTATGGAGTTTATTGCAGAAGAACAGAAAGCTTACCCCAACTTTTTAACGTATTCGAGGTATCCTATTAGGATTTCATGATATACAGCAGTCCTCAGGCATTTGGGGCGAAAGAAGTGAACACTGTCAAGGTAAGATATGTATACTCTCCTAGATAAAGAACAGAGAACATTCATAAATCCAGGCCATAACCAGAAACATTATTCAAATACCTCACCATTCCATTTTTCCCCATTACCAAGGAAAAATGTCTGTTGGTGTTTGAATTGAGGTACTTTCAACATTTGAGTAATTTGTCTTCCTTCACATTTTTGTTTTGTTTACATAGCTATCTCAATTACATTGCCATTTCCCTGCCCAAACTTTTTCTCTATTTGCCATGTGATATTCTATACTTTGGGTCACCAACATGGCACCTGTGGGCACCATGGTGTCCTCAGACACCCCCTTAGTGGCCACCAATACCCCTTGCCATTCAGTTCTAATGTTTTTTTAAATGAGCTTTTGGGGGGCTTACTTGTCTTGTATTTGTTCTGGGGAAGGTTGCCTATTTTAGAGGGTATGTTAACTGCTTTTTTAATATAATATTTGTTATCAGAGATGTATAGGTCTTTTGTCTGTTGGGAGGGGGTATTATGAGCATCACTATTTTCTTCTTCTCTGAAACTAATATATTGGGGTATCCATGACAGTTTTAGATATCCAAAGGTGGTCTTAAAACTCCAAAAGTTGGGGCCCCTTGTTTTATATTGTATTTTACAGCACTCATCTCTGGAAGAAATTAGTGTCAGAAAGGTTCAGTCACAAACCTTGGTTTGGTGCTACTAGAATGAACCTTCAAGAAGCTTTAGGCTTGCATGCTGTGATTTTATGTGAACTGGAAAACTAGGATTTGTCTTTGGCCAGAAAACGGGATAAAACTTTTGTTTCCAACACTGGCTCACAGGTGAAGTACTAACCATAGTTTGACAGTTCAGACAAATGACTAACTCTGACTTGCCTCAGACCAGAGAGGGAACAGTCCTGTGCAATGTAGGGCAAAAAGTGCACATGCAAGTCAAAAGCTCCTTGAAGGTTTGTACTTATAGCATCAAGTCACAGTTGATATTTAAACCAGTCCTGCAAACTTGTTGGGCTAGATCTCTCTCTGGCATACAAGCCTCAGACGCTGGATGTTCTCAAGTGTTTTGTAAGGCAAGTCTATTACAGTAACAAACATATATAGTCTCATTAACAATGCAGCATAATAAATAGAAATAATGTCAGGAGAAAAAAATGTGGTACCACTTACATGGTGCCACTTCTAAGAAGTATTAACATCTCTCAAATACCGAGTACTTAGCTTGCATTAAGACCTTAGGCATTACTTGACCTCTATAAATAGGTCACTCATAGGCTACTTTCCCCCATTCAAGAGATATGGGCACATTATGTGGCTAGCACAATGGTCTGAGGATACATCTCCCAACAATTACTGCAGTAGTTTAACAATCCATCCCCAAGTAGAAGATCAATATGAGCAGATGAGCTTATTCATTTAATTCTGTAGAAAATACTGAATTTAAGTGGAAAACATTATTATTATTATTATTATTATTATTATTATTATTATTATTACATATAAAAGATAAATAAGCTTCAACAATTATGCTTGCCATGGGGAGTGCCATGGGGAGTCTTCTGCCCAACTCTGATGCTCCAAAGATGGGTGGAGATTGTCCCCTGGAAGCATTCTGATGATCCCTGCCCCTCTCCCCAGTTTTAAGGTTAGGAAGAAGGTGTGGGTTGGTTAGCATCTTCATTGCTCAAAGCCCCCACTTTGAACATACAAGCTCAAAACCAACACCGATCTGCTTTAGGGGCTTCTTCAGCGTCTGCTCAATGGTGACACTCCCTCTCTCCCATAGAAGGGGGGCAGTCTTTGGCCATTACTTTGAGCTCCTTTGTTGAGCACTGGTGAAGCCAGAATGGTCCTGGCCTGCCTTTCCCACGGGACTTCTTTTGCTGCTGAGTGGAGGCAATTGCCTCCATCAAGCCACGAGGGGAGGGGACAGGGTGGGAAGAGCGAACCTGGCAACCACAATTTTTGGCTTGGCTAGCAAACCTTAAAGATAAAAACATTCCAGTTGCTTCTATGAAGTAAACACATTTGGGGGGGGGGGGAAATCAACCATCAGAAAGGAAAGTCAGAGATGGAGCAGGAGCAGAGGGTAACTGTAGACATTTACAACGAATCTTGCAGTTTGCTTTGGGGCAAATAATTTAACCTCTCTTAAACCTTCAAAACGGCATATCTAGCAACAATCCAAACATAACTACCATCAAAATAATAAAACTTGATCAGTGTAGTTCTTTACCTCTGATTGGGTTGAGGGCAATCTGATCCATACTCCTGAACATGCATACCAAAAAAGCACAAATCGACACCATCAATCTCCTCAAAAGCAAAGAGGGCTTTTGTTCGATAAGGGAACTGTTCTGCCATCTCTCCACTATCTACAAACCTGCAAAATGTAAAGACATAATTTAAAGGCATTCTTTGAAGACAAGCACAACAGAACAAAGGTAACAGAAATTCTAGTCATGTGGTACAGTTTCAAAAATGCAGATATTGTACCCAAATAAAAAATTGTAACTACTGCTATTTATTTTATAATGGATTTGTTTTAACTGCCTTGTTCTGTTGTAGTTCAACTTTAATGATGAAACAGCTTTAAATGTCTTGATAGCATAACCGCGTGTCAAATTAATAAACTACACAAAACCTAAATGAGCACACCCGTAACTATGGAGAGAATTAGAGCCATCTCCGATTAGAATTTAACAATAAGAGATGCCTGCTCAGTCTCCTTAACGTGATTAATTTACTACCCTTTATTTCCTAGTCTTTCCCAACATCTCCCACATACCTTTTCTCCTAACCCTTACAATTCATTGTATGAAATCTAAGTAACAAGATATGCAACCAACAGTGAATGTCCTAATTGTTATAATCATTCATACTATAATAGCAGCATTAAAAACACTTCACATTATGACATTCTATGGGGGAGTGTGGGGAAGCGAGGAAATATCTTAACATTAGAAGAGATCTGACCACCTTAGCCTGCAAATGAAAACTTAGCAGTTCAGGGTATCTACAGCCTACTGAAATATTATGTTTTACTCCTTAAATTTTATTTTTTAGCTATAAATTATGAAAAGCCAATACTCTATTTAATCCCTATGATCAACATTTTTGAATTAATTCACCTTACTTTAAAAAAAACTGTTTTGTTGTTGTTTTTTTGGATTTGATATCCCGCCTTTCACTCCCTTTAAGGAGTCTCAAAGCGGCTAACATTCTCCTTTCCCTTCCTCCCCCACAACAAACACTCTGTGAGGTGAGTGGGGCTGAGAGACTTCAAAGAAGTGTGACTGGCCCAAGGTCACCCAGCAGCTGCATGTGGAGGAGCGGAGACGCGAACCCGGTTCCCCAGATTACGAGACTACCGCTCTTAACCACTACACCACACTGGTTCATAGAAATAACAGTTTGAAACTCATAAATGTGAGATATGATTGAGGGCAAACATATTGCCAAGTGCTCTTTGATTACGAAAATGATATATTATGCATTGCTTTAACACACATAGTAACTATGCAACTAGAGGATTCATAAGGAAACATAACTCAAAGACTTGAGGAAAAACATACCTTGCTTTCATCCCTGGCTTTACCTCTACAGTTTTCTCTGAAGTATGAACCACCCTAACTATGACTTCGCCTGACTCAGGGTGATTCTGTCTTCTCAGGAACTCATTCACTCTGTTCTCTAAGAATGTACCAAGTCTTGTGGCTGGTAACCCTGTATAAAACAAAGAACTCTCAGCGTACTATTACGGTAAACATCAACACCAAAGTCGCCTAATATAAATAGGTATAGCTTTACCTTGAGGCCCACTGATTAAAATTTGCATGCTTTTGCCCTTGATGTTAATCTAAAACTTCTGCCTATTAATCTACCAACTGAATGATGTAGACTTGCCTGGACACCGATCAACTAACCTGCTAACAGTTTTCAATAAAGCTAGTAATTAATATCTACATAATGTTCTCCCCAAGAAAAGAGGGTAGCATCAGGCATATATATCGCCTAAATGAAGAAAATGGAATTCATCTAGAAACATGATTCCAGTACTTTTTGACCATATGCTTGTCATGATGTCCCTAGCAGGGCACTAGAGCTCTTTTAAGATCTATCTCCAGCATCTTAAACTGTCCACCATACTAGCAAGATTGTTCCTGAACGGACTACTTAGGAAAAAGTTATCTGTGTATAGCTCACTAAAAACACTGCATGCAGCAGCATAGAAAAAAGGCAAACAGTATTGGGAATGATTAGGAAAGAAACTGGAAATCAAATAGCATGCACAATACAACATCCCAACCCCCACCCCAATTCTCAAGCAATGATCCCAATAAATCCAGGAAGCTTTAATTATGGGGGGAAAGCAAACAGATGTTGAGACTTTAAGTATCAGGCTCATATAGTGGCTTGGTTTCCATTTTAGGATAATGGGGAAAACTCCAAGTGTTTGGCTGCAAGCTAATGTCTTCCATATTTCAAGGATGTGCAGAGATCTGGGCCTCCTAATTGCACCTTGTCAGCGCAAGTTACCAGGTGGTTACTGATAGGCAAGGACTTCTATACTTGCCTAATTTCTTATTATAAAAATGACCAAAGATTCAAAATTCCACCTTAAAGGCAGAGTAATGTTAGGATCATGTTCCTGATAGAGGAATATTGTCAGTACCCAAATGGAACTGATCTGGTCAATAGACTACCTCAAGTTAATTTCTGTGGTTTAGTGAAAAAACAGCATGTAATAACAACAGTTCTTAACGTATCACTTAGCTATAGGATCTTCTGAAATTAGTAAGATTTATTTCCTAATCGGTAAGTGAGCATCAAGTGGATGCTCTGACCCCTGAAATGCATCTTGTTGGGTCCATGAGACCTTCTCAGGTTCTGTGTCCAGCCTCTGGAACTCCCTGCCAAGGGAAACTCTTCTTTTTATGAAGGCTCTAGGACTTTAGAGATTTAATTTTGCTAAAAAGTTATGTGGGCAATTGGGACTGATATTTTAACTTGCTATTTTATTTTTGTTGTACTTGAAATTCTCTATTGTATTGATTTTTAATGTTGTTGTTAGCCATCTTGAAGGAAAGACAGGATTAAAATGCTTTAAATAAAGCAACCAAAGGGTTGAGGAAGACAAGGAATATCTTCACTTACTTCGAGCACAAAATTTATTTTCTCTCCGGGTTCGCCCAGTTTTCTTTAGGCAACCATCACAAACAAAGCTGAAATAGAAACGGGGAAAAAAGAAATTCAAAATATATTCTTAACAAAAAGGTGAATAATCTCCACAAAAATATTCCTTTGATATTTTCTAACATCCTGATACCCAGTACTTATTTCAACCATTATTTCTTTTTTTTTAAAAAAGGATAGCATATTGGATTTGATCAATGTTTTAGTATGTATCAACAATAAATTAGGAAATCACTAAAAGGTCTTATTGCCAAAAATATGTTTTATCAATTAACTTCCCTTTTCCGGTTTAAGATGAGCACTAATTTTAAGCTGATCCAGTGATTAATGTACACTATACTACCACTTCAGCTGTTTCCCTATGGCACTTTCTTCAAAGGAGAGCATAAATCCCAACTAGGACAATATACTGGATGGACAGAATGGAGGATGCGGTGGAGAATGTTGGCCTGCCTTCTGAAATACTGCATCATGGACCATATAAATTATGCTCTCTGTGCATTCTGTGATCTGTGGCAGCAATAGTAAGGTTATTGGAACTAGAAAATCAAGCTTCCTGGGATCTGAGTTGTAGAAAGTCCCTCTAAAGGCAGCATTGATATTACATAGGAGTATGTTAACAAATGTCTATTAAGAGGGCAAGTTTATCAACTGACTTGAAAATAGCAACTTAATGGCAAGCGTTTTAGAAAAACAATTTTAAGCTGGCATGGTTGCTGTTTTAAATTAGACCACCAGCACTCTTTCCAGATAGAACTGTAGTCATTTTGTCATTTTTTAAATTGTACACAAAAAGCACATCATCAACAAATTACCATCTTTGTAAGAAAAAAGGAAAGAAAAAGCAGGAAGCAACCCACCCAGATGGCCAGATTGTCTCATTGTGAAGCACACAAATCTGATGCATTTTTCTTCCACATTCTATACATTCAACAAACCTGGAAGAGAGAATCAAAGTATAAGCAACACAGGAAGTTGTGGAAGATAACTGATTTAGAAAAAATGTGTTGGAACTGAAGATTATGTAGCCCAAGTACAAAATATTAAGAACTGTACAATTTCAAACCTGTTGATCTGCTGTACATGTATCTTTTCTCAGCAACAGTCTAGTGTACTATGCCCAAATGCAAACCACTACTCCCCATATGGTCTACATTGATTTTAGTTATGCATTATATAGCTTCTCTTTTCTTACATTCCACTACTAAAAGAATTCACAGCAACTAAGATTCCTGTACATCTAAGTCTGAAGGCAGAACTAGGTACATGACAAAGCACAGTTAAATGTTTACAAAGAGGATTGGGAGGCTTTTGAAAAAGTGAAGTCAATTTTTTATACTTCAAAACAAATATATTCAATATAAATTTGTAATATTGACTAAAGTAATCAAATGCTTTTCTACCCGAAACTCAGATTATGTGGCTATACTTAGGCAGGCAAATATCTGCTTTCTTAAGGTACAACACATCATCAATATTGCAGGTGATAAACTAAGAGAATAATGCTAAAGCCTTCCACTCACCCCTCCCACCCCCCTGCAAAAATAAATAAATGAATAAATGGTAAAAAAAACTTAAAATGACAAGTGATTTGAGCTGCTCAAGCATGACTTACTGTTCAGGGTCCAGTGTATCATTTTTCCTTTTAGAAAACTGGTCTTTATTTATTGTGCTGAGGAGAAAAATTGATAATCACAGTTGTAACAAAAATAAGTAGCTGCTCATAATAATAATAAATCTTCCTAGCACCTACAGGAAACCCTGCTACACAGCCCAATAGAACTCCATATGCATTCTGCTTCTTAAGAATTAAACATTTTGAGAGGAAGGAAAACTACAGGTGAATTCAAATATCTAGGGCAATGTAGTGGCTACTTAAAAGCTTGTAAGACACCAGAGTTGCCATTCATAACCTGTGACCACACACTTAAGCACTCCTCCCCCTCTGCAAATGCTTAAAAATCCAGAAAGTCTTAGGGCTTAGCAGTGTCATCAGAAGCTACAGATAATTTCTTCCTCACTAGGTACAGGAACCATGCAGTCACCATGCAGCTTCTAACCATCCAAAGTCAACCCTCCATCACAGATTGGGGAGCAGACAAGCACAAAGAAGCTACTAGGAAGTACAGAACATACTATTTAAACACATTCTACAGTTTGACGTATCATGAAACCCCATTTTATAAAACACATCATCTTTAAAGACTGACATTTATTAATATACAACTTATGACTAGCTTTTGGGTTAGTGAGACCTCCTTATCTTCTCTCAACTGTAATACTTGCTTTTACTATGATAGCCTGGACATAGTTTTCTACCCTCTGGAAATTTCAGAGTTTGACTACTGTTATATGTTGTATATGGGGTTGCCTTTAAAATTGGTTCAGAAACTTCATCTGGTTCCAAGCACAACCGATAAACTGTTAAGCAGGACACACTAGTTTCAGAACCTCTGCAGTATTAATAGTTCTACAAAGTTACCCAATATTTCCAAGTTCAATGCAAATTTCATTTTTATACCTTTAAAGCCCTGAACAGCTTGACACTAGAGTACTTAAGAAGGACCATCTTTTCTTATATGCACCAGCCCACCTTCCAACACCCTTTTCCAGGTGCCCTCAACTCTTTTAGTGAGAGCATCTATTCAGTGATGGTGCTTTGTATTTGAATAGTCTCTCTAGACATAAATATGGCAGTTACTTCTACCTTGATTCAGCTCAATTTCCTTTTTACCAAGGCTTTTAATTGAATTGCTGCTGCAATCTGATCTATTATTTTAGTGACTGTCATATTTCCCCCCCTTGCTGCTTACTTGGGTTTATTGTTACCAGACAGGTAGTAGCCATGTTAGTCTGTTACAGCAAAATTAACAGGGTCTTGTGGCATCTTAAAGACCAACACATTTTATTATGGCATGTGCTTTCACGGACTAGAGCTTACTTTATCAGATACATGATTTTGTTTATCGCAATGTTGCTAGCTATTTCATTCTTTTCTACTATGGTAAGCTATTCCAAAGAGGCTTTGTTGAAAAGCACCCTTTTAGAACAATATCAAACTAATTAAATTAAGTTAGGAAATTATTGTTAATAACTGTTGTAGCACGTGCTTTTGTAACTTCTACCACTGAACTACTGCAGTGTGCTGTCTATAAAGCTGCTTTAGAATTTTTTTCAGAAGTTGATCCAGAATGTAGCAGACTTTTGCTGGCAATAAGAACTATGCTATACTTAATAGGATCGATTACTGGTTTGTTTCCAACCACAACTCAAATTTCTGGTTTCTGCTTTTAAGGCCTTAACTGATCTGGGCCCTCATAACATGAAGGAATACCATAGGTACCCCATATGGAACTGAAATTTTGGGAGGTGGTGCTATCACTGTATCCTCTCAAAGAGGTATGGACAGCAGCTGTAAGATATAGGCTGGGATCCCCAGTGCAACACCTGCAAGTATCACATTGCCCCCAGGCACCCACCTTGGTACAAGCCAAGACCCCCTGCCCCCCCTTTTAATGGGGAGTTGTGGTCACTCTACAAATATGTATAATTGCATTGTGATATTTAGAGAGTTTTCCCCAGTCTCTTTACCAAAGATCCCAAACATGGAATTTGCCTTTTGCACAGCTGCCACACAATAGGTCAACATTTTCACTGTGCTACCAATGATGACTTCAAGATTTCATTCCTGATGAGTAACCATCAGGTCGGACTCTATAAGCATATATGTGAAGTTAGGATGCTTTGTCCTGTTGCACATTACTTCATACTTGCTTACACTGAACAGCATTTGCTATTTTAATGCCCATTCATCCAATTTGGATTCTTTTGGAGCTCCTCACAATACTCTTTTAGTTTTACCACCTTAACAATTCAGTATCATCAGTAAAACTGGCTAATACACTGCTCGTGCTTAATTTCAGGTGATTTATGAACAAGTTAAAAAGCACCAGTACTAACCCAAATTCTTAGGGACTCCACTTCTCAAATCCCTTCATTATAAGTTGTTGTTGTTCTTTTTTACTATGTATTTTGTGGTTTTTATATTGTAATTTAATGTTGTGAACTAACTGCCCTAAGATCTGTGGATGAAGGGCAGTATACAAAATGAATAAACATCAAGTTTGGGGAAGGACAGGGGAGTGGCAATTGTTTGTATTATTATTTTTTGTGGGGGAGAGGTATTCTGCCTGCTTTGGTGTGTGTGTATCTAAGCATTACCTGTTAACCTTCTGTGATGTTTATTTAACAAAGTTTATATACTGCTTGATTGTAATAAATCTCTAAGTGGTTTACAAGACATAATGTTAATGTCAACAAAAAAAAGTTAAAACAGGTACTTTAGAATGTTCAAAGATCAAATGTGCATATAATGAGGTAAGGTGATCTCACAAGTAAATGGATCCCAAGCTGTTGAGGGCTTTGTATTAATATATCAATAGTAACGCCTTGAACTTGGCCTGGATATGAAAGGATATTTTGTAGTGCCTATAACAGTTTCTCAGATTTCAAAGAGTGCTCTTGGACTGGGGAAAAAATCTGAACATCTAGGATGTTCTTGGTGGTGATGTTCCAGTTATGAAATTATTGCCTAGAGAAGCTTTTCCTGGCTAGTTCCCTTTCACCTTTTAAAGGGTAGGAAACTTTCATTTTCTGGAAGACATCTGCTGCCTCAGAATCCAACCAGACTAAAAATTATGTCTCTTGAGATCCTGTGTATTTTAGCATTAAAAATGTATTTTAAAGCATTTTAGGCACTTATTCTCCAAAAATCTACTACATATTTTCTCCTGTAGGTTAAATTAGTGGTGGACAAGACTGAAGACTAAGTTTTTAGCTAAGTCTCCTTCCAGGCGCTTCTTGGCATTAGGCTCTTTCCTGCTTCTAAAACCTTCCCTGTTTATATATTTTCACATACAGTGGTGCCTCGCAAGACGAAAAGAATCCGTTCCGCGATTCTCTTCGTCTAGTGGTTTTTTCGTCTTGCGAAGCAACCCTATTAGCGGCTAAGCGGATTAGCGCTATTAGCGGTTTAGCAGCTATTAAAGGCTTAGCTGCTAAAAGGCTATTAGCGGCTTAGAAAAAGGGGGGGGAGCGGGGGGGAAATCGCAAGACTAGCAAGACGTTTCGTCTTGCAAAGCAAGCCCATAGGGAAAATCGTCTTGCAAAGCAACTCAGAAACGGAAAACCCTTTCGTCTAGCGGGTTTTCCGTCTTGCGAGGCATTCGTCTTGCGGGGCACCACTGTATAACCAGAATCCATCAGGCAAAGGATCCCCACTTACTGCAATTAGGCAATCTATTTCACATATTATGGAACTATCAGAACAACATTACAAATATTGAAGTTGAAGCAAGGGAGCCTTACACATTGACCCAGTCCAGATTTCACGACAAGTCAACATCAGCATGACAAGAGTGAGCCACAACAAGCCTTGAGCTTGTGCACTCCCCTCCTGAGAGTTCCAATGGTTCCACTTCTGGTATAGATTAACCGCAACATCATGTCATCTGAACTTAACTTAAGCTGTAGCTAGCATTAACTATGGGTTGTTTGAAACAAGCATGCTTCATAACACAAGGTTTGAAGTTGAGTTGTTGCAAGCCATAGTTAAGGTTAGTCACAGTTTAGGGTTTGGACAACATGCAGTTCTCATCTCATCCTTGCAGCTGTGCCTAAGGAGAAGAGGATGTGGCGTTCAAATATGGCCAATATGTAAAGGCACATAAATATTCTAAGTGTCAGAACATGGTTGTAACCTCCAGCAAACAATTCCTATGAACACTCTGCTCCAACATAACCCTATTTTGAGCAGGAAAATCTGTCACCCGTGTTTTCAAATTTAGGCCTGCTTTCAGTTAGGTACCTGCCTGAACAATTCCTTACTGGATCTCCTGCTCAACAGGTTAAAGGTAGTCATGGTGTGCATGTGTGTGCACAAAATAGTTAAAAGTTAAAGCAAGCTGTGAAGTCTCTTTTCTACAAGCAGAAGCAACAAAAAATTTTGCAGGCTCAGGTGGGACTGGAATTCTTAAACATTAGGTCTTTATTAAATCTAACATATAAACTGGAATAATGCTTCTACTTTTCAAAAGTGGTTTTTCATATTCTCACCAAAATATGAATGTGTTTTAAAAGTTAAGCTCATTCTGAAACATAAGGTTTGTCTTGTTTTCAAATAATATTCCTGTCCTCTGTTCCTCCCATAATTGCACAAGGCCTCAGCATTAAATAAGGAATTTTACCATAAATTTGATGCAAATTGTTTAATAGTATTTAGAGTATGAGATTGACTAATGCTATGATAAATGTTGTAAGAAATTTAAAAATAATTAGAAAGGAGATAGCTACTCACGTTTGAGGCTGTGATGGGTCGTCCCCCAAAGAAACGCTCTCTCCTTGGATTTCATTGAAGCACTTCTCACAGAAATGATACCTGTCGGCAAGAAGGCCATATTTGGGTGAACTGTTCCGTCCACACAACACAGCCCAAGCCAAGCAACGGAGCCACCAATCACAGCAGGCCAAGGAGGGGGGCGGGAGCAGAGAGCAGGTCATCAACGGCGACAGGGACATTCAATGATGAAGATTTATGGGACCCAGAGTTTGTGTTTGGTTTTGTTTTTTTGTTTGGGTTGGTTTTTTTGCAATCAAAGCCAAGTGCAGACAACGACAAGCATGAAGGAGAAATAAAAAAACAACACACACACACGAACAAAGAAATAGGGATTTGCAGGACGGAAAACAAAAACACAGAAGCAAGACAGGACAACACAAAGCAGAAAGCCAAGGCAAAGCACAGATTAGCATTAAATCTCTCAAATGGGATCACAAGCAGCAAATTATAGCAAATAAAAAGAGTATTCCATTTTAGTATGCCCATGCCCTCCTCATTTCAATAATCAATGCTACAATAAAGCAGAGAATCAAAATGAAGAAAGGGTAAGAGCAATTGCTGCTCTGACATCTGCATCAGGGTAGCAACTCTTTTCACAAGAACATCTGCCAGGAGAGGGCTGGAAAGGGGTGAAAACAATCCATCTTGAGAATGCTCAAATGTTGACAGGCCAGTCCTTCCCCTCAAAGCATTTTTTGTTTGCAACATCTGTTTAAAGCAGCAGTAACCATCCCCAAAACAATTTCTATGCAATTGTTCATGATCTGCCAAAATGACAGGTGCTTTAAGGCATCTGACAATCAGCCATGCATATGTATGTTCTTAATATGTGACGTACTGATGTTCCATGCCTCCAAATTGATGTATAATTGACATATTAAAAGGATTCCATCTTCATCTAAATTAATGTTGAATGCTTTACTCAAGATGTTTTTTTTACCCGCAAGAGTGCACAGAAACTGCAGCCTTTCCATTGCTAAGCAAGTTAATTTGAGTGCAAACATACAACAAAAAGAAACAAAAACAAAAAACAAAACTGTGACAGTATTATAAAGCAAAGCAAAACCAACACTAGAGGAAATGTAATTGCTAAGGAACGGATCACTTCTTCACCACCTATGTTCCCTATCTATAACAGGTTAGTTTATTTATTACACTGATACAATGACAAACATTGATTTGGACATTCAAAAGACCAGTGTCCAAAGAACCACTTAGTGTTATCTGCTTGGGGGGGGGGGGGCTTTGCCTTGCATGTTTTGGACAGCAACCTTCCATTCCACATTGTTTTTGAAACTCCTCTTAATTTCAAAAGCTGTGATATGGCATGACAGTCTGCTGATTAAAGGTAAAAAAATCCACTAGCAATGCCGTAGCCCATGTACACACCTACAGCAGTTCTTTGGATCCCAGCTCATATGTATACATATGAAGATTTCTTTACTCAAGTTGGCATTTGTGATAAAAATGACTTATGGCATGAAGCTGTAAAGTTATAGAAATAAATGAAAGCTTAGCTTTAGATTTGTTAAAGAACTAGTTGTCTACTTCAGCAACCCACCCAAAGCATGATTTGCAGCAATACTCCTGACAAAAAACGTGAAAAAGTTGTGTTTTCAGTTTTCCTTCCTTCCTTAGAAGAGCTCCAAACGCAGTTTTTCCTAACAGATGTTTTCCGACCCCAAAGCAGAACATAGAACCATGCTATCACAGAAAGCAAGTCTTCAGAAAGACTGCCATCATCATGCAGGTGCAGGTGGTAAAATTAAGATGCACGGTGATGCTTATTTAATCAAACAACTCCAGACTTCACTCCTCAGTTAATTTCCACTTCAGAAAAGGGCTATCGAGAACAAACTGAAGGCTGCAGGTCCAGTGGAGTACAGAGAAGTTGCTGGTTTACTGAAATTCCCATAAAAGATGCCGGACCAGGTAAATCTTGGTCTGATGCAGTGCAAGATTTAGCTTCTTAAACAAAAGTACATACTCAGGAACACTTGACAGTTATGCCTCAATAGTTAAGAGATCCCAAGCACACACACAGGAGTGCTAACAGCATAGAAATTCTAGACTGAATGTTAAATGCAGTGAACTCAAGATGCAAGCATGCATGCTTTTCTGTGCACTGTTTCATACAGAGGAAAAAATGATGGCTTTACTGCAAAAGCTTTGAACTTATCTAAAGCATATGGAGAGTTTATATTAACATCCTAATTTCTGAAACAGGAAGAAAAAGTCAATTGATGCAACAAGGCACTTGGCTTGCATGGGATGTAATCTGCTGAGTATGCTATAAATATAAGTGCATGCCTGCCTATATCTAATATAATTTTTCACAGAAGGTGCAATGCTGTACCCAAGCATTTTCTTACCTGTTTTGGTAACTGTAATATGTAGCATCTCGTGGGATTGTGCATAACTGTTTGCCATAGCAACATAAAGTCTGTGGTGAAAACTCCAACTGAAAAGAGAGGGGAACGCAGGTTGCTTACAGGTATCCAAGAAATAAGACATTTTAAAGCAAAGTTTCAAAAGCTGCTACGAAAGCAGCGGAAGCACAGATCCCACCTAATGAGGGCATGCACACTATCTCCAGAGGGCAGGCTGGGCACCAAATTTTCCTAATAGATAAGCTCTAGAAGGTTCCAGACACTGTCCTGAAGAGGCAGAAAGCTCATACTTGGGATTGCACAGAAACCACAGGTTTTTGTTTATAAGTATTCATGAAGTATTATTCATGAATAAGTATTCATGAAGTATCAGTGGTGGTAGTTCAGTATCAACACTGTCCGCCCCTCCCCAAGCTCCTAGAATCAGAGCACAACCTACAAATGTTGTGGTGCTAATAATGATTCCTGTACAACATAACATTTATTAGGCAGTAGTTTTATCCATTTGGAATGCTGTTTACCCCAAAGAAAACCTTGCCATCAAAATATTTTGTACACAACTACATGTAGGGGTAGACCAGGGACAATAAACTTCTTAGCCTTGGAGGACCATCTGCTTTATTGCTTACATGCAGTAGGAAAACAACTGAATGTTGTATTTAATGATGAACATTAAGACTCTGGAGTAAGTACTGAACACAATTTAAGACAATCCTAAAATAGTTCACCATACTTGATTTCTATATTAGCATTCAAAACAGACTTAAAGGATCCTTAAAATTAGACATTGAAGTGTTTGGGTAATTTCCTGAAATTCAGCTTAAGATGACTCTCCTTACCTTTCGTCCACAACAATAGCCAAGGCTCTGCATAACTGGATCAATTTCCTGCTCAAACACCTCTGCCAGCTTGGAACAGTACTTATATACTCTAGATGTTTTGCGGTTGTAAAGCCAGGCATTGTTGAACATGAGCCAAATATCATCGACATACTGCCAGGGCTCCTGGTACTGTCCTGTGTCAAGCTTCCTCTTGATTGTAGAAAGATCCATGGGGTTCTTTACTATATCAAAGTAATCCTGAAAAATAAATAAATAAGAATTCTGAACCCTTGGGTGCAGACCTGGAATGTCTTTGCTTATCTCATCCACAAAAGCCTGAAACCCCATCTCAGAAAGTAATGGGTAAGACATTTGCTTTCGGTCAGACAAATTTAAAAATGCCCAATACAGAAGACAACTTTGCTCTGAAGGAGACTAATCTGAAAAAAAGAAAAAGGAAAAAGATGGAGCTACAGGATTTTGTTGTTACACACCAAAGCCCTGGAAAAGTAGTTACGCATTGAGAGAAATGTTTCTTTTCAATACACTTACAGGAATTCCTAGTAGTTGGGGATCCACAGGCTGTCGGAAGGGAAGGGACTCTGGGTCCTGACGGTAAAGTGCCTCCAAAGTTGGCATAAGTGCCTGCCTCAACTCTTCTGGCTTGAAAACTTGTGAAAGGAGACACATAACATAAAATTAACCAAGAGAATTAGAAATCTGATTAACATCAAGACCATGCTTCATTTCCAGTTTCCCCACTCATTATCCAATGGTATCCAGGAATTTGATACGGAACAACAGTAGGAATTAAAAATATTTTACTCAAGAGCTAATGTGCACAGTAAATGTAAAGTTTGGCTAATAGTTAAATTTCATAGGCCTGTCTCCTAACCAGTGTTTCGTTAGACAAGGCACATCCTTCTATGGATGTCCTATTACCGAAATGTTAACATGTGAAGTTCAAGTCTCAAACTTAAGAAAACTACACAGCTTCTCTATGTAGCTGAAAAGAAACAGTAAACTTACTTTTCCTCTTTGACTGTCCTGAAGCTGGTGAAGACTGAGTACCTGGAGTACTAGGTCTTTCCTCCTCTTCCTTCACTTCTTGCTTCACTTCTGGCTTTTTCTCTTCTTGCTCTGTTGATTCAGATTTGCATTCCTCAGACATGGATTCTACCTTAACCTGGAAAAGCAGGAAGACATTTATGAGCAAAAAAGCAAATAATAATAATAATAATAATAAATTACCACACCTTCAAGAATAATAATGAAGAAAGTGGCTGGGGGACACTGTATGTACTCCCTCTATTGCAGTGGTGGTGAACCTATGACACGTGTACCAGAGTGGGTTGTGATGGTGTGGGTCTGGATCCGAAGCAGGTTTGGATTTTTATTTTTTATTTTGGTGGGGAGCAACAGCTCAGCTAGCCATCGATAAACATAAGGGTCTGTCTCTTACCCTTGAGGACAGCAGGCTCGGGCTGTGCTGCTGTTTTCAAGATCCAAGATGCAGAGCAGGGTGGGGGCAGAGAAGGAGCCTGCCCTCTGACACCAGGGAGGGGAGTGCTACGGTGGGCCACGCTTGTGCAAAGCAAAACACACACACGGGAGAGGGGGCAGCTTTGCAATGCGCCACATCGGGATGCTTCTGCCTGGCTTTTGCATAAGCCTGACTTCCCTGCCTTTCCCTCCTCCTTTTTTTGAACTCAGGAGGAGGTTGCTCTTTCGCCTGTGCTGGAGAGCGCGGACTGGGTGGGGAAGAGGGAGAGCCAGTGTGAGGGCAGGCGAGGCGCAGAAGGAGTGAATGTCATGAAGAGGGGCTGGAAGAAGTGAAGGGGTGGAGGCAAGCTGCTCCTTGAAGACACCTCGCAACAGGAGACCTTGCTGCCTGCACGCTGCGAAGCCAATGAGCCTCAGTTCTCCTTCCTGCCCACCCAAAGCCCAACCCAACAGAGCGACTCCAGCTTCCCTGGTGAATGGGTCGGTCAGCCAGCTCCGGGTTTTCCAGAGTCCCACACTGAGTCCTCTGTCTGTGTCTGTCTGTCTGTTTCCTCTCTGCTTTTCTCTTGTTCTCCAATGCCCGGGAGAGAAGCACCGAAGGGGCCACAGAGAGAGAGAAACAGACAGACAGACACACTTCCCCACTAATAATAATAATAATAATAATTATTATTATTATTTATTTATACCCCGCCCTCCCCGGCCAGAGCCGGGATCAGGGCAGCTAACACCAATAAAACCACAGTAAAAACATAATAGGGGAAAAAGAGAGTGGGGGAAAACCAATTTAAAATACAAGTTAAAATAAAATTTTAAATGCAGCCTCATTTTAAAATAGCTGATAAATCAAGTCCATAAGGGGAGGGAAACATAAGGGTCAGACCGAGTCCAAACCAAAGGCCAGGCGGAACATGCAGGGAAAGTATCCCAAGAGTGCTTCACAACACACAAGTGCTGTTAAATTAATAGTGCAGATGGATTTACAGCAAGGCCACTGGGATCAGCACTTCCAGAAAGCCAAATATTTCACCACCAGCATGAAAAGAAGCCACAGATAAATTATTGTTCTCTGCAGGTGTGGCTTGCGCTATAACCATAAAACAATTTTTTTAGTCTGGGTCTTCTGATGTCACAATGAGTTTTTGCACCAAAAAGAGTGTGTGTCGATGAGACATCAGGTGACCCCACCCACCTGTTAAAATGGACCACAGGATGGGGGTGGCTCAGAATCTGACCAGCTGGCCAGAAACTGTTCCCCACACAAGTGCTACTAAGTAAACTGCTTGGTCATCACTTGAGAGAAAACTTCTAACCCCGCTTGTATCATGCATCAGAGACTACAGAGACAGGAGATCTGGATCAAAAAAACAAAACTGAAATGTTTTAAAAATTAGTGCATTGACTTTCCTAATCAGCAAGTCAGACTGGTATAGTAGATAAAGTACCAATTTGGGTAGACCTGGGCTAAAATCCATGACATTTACAGGGCGACCTTGAGCCACTTACTCTCTTTTCAGCCTAATCTACTTCATAGGGTTGAGTGGATATATTGCAGCCCCCCTTTCCCGTATCCCTCCTGTTCTTGGAAGAAAAAGATCCAGATGTGATCAAATGAATGAATTCCTAGGCCTATCCAGTGTGCATGCCACACTCTCACCTCTGGCTTCTCCTCCATTTGAAGATCTGTTTGTTCTGACTCCTCCTCTTCCATTTTAATCTCCATTTTAATTTCAGGCAAAGGCTGCTGCTGCTGCTGTTCAGGAGCAGCCTGTTGAGAGTTCACATCTGCACTGTTGGTGGATGGTGGGTTTGATACTTGCCCATCAATGTTTGCACCTGGATGTGAAAGCTACAGAATGAAAGCAACAAAACTAGTAAAGCTACATGTCAAGTAGTGCTACACAGTTTTGCAGCAATTGTATTCTTTGCTTTATTTTGTGCTTCTAAGCGATATGGTATCTCAAGCAACTTATGCCATGTGCATCTCAATAAGAAGAGGCACTACACAAAAAAAACCCCAATATCTTAATACTAGCCTACCACGGAATTATGTCTAGCTATACCACTTTCTGCACCTTCCTCCCCAGAAATCACACACACATATTTTTATCAGACATCTGTAGCTGAATTAATTCTTCGAAACTCTGCTATACAAAAGACAGCATGCATTCCAAAGTCCAGCATACTGTTCTATACCTTCATGCAATGCATGCTATTGAGACAGCAGAAACCATTTAGCCTTTGATACTGTATATAACAACCTAAAAAGATTTTGCCCAAGGTTGGACTTTCACTCTTAATAGCCCTAGAACACTTAAACTGCCTTACGGGTGTTGTAGGATGCTGAGGCTGCAGTGCTGCTGTAGGGGTGGGCACAGATGCAGTCGTGCTCTGTTGCGAAAGAGGTTGCTGTGGCAGCTGCTGCTCTGCAGAAGGGGTAACAGAAACTGGAGGCTGCACTTGCGGAGTCAGCTGAGCCTGGGGAGGTGTTGGGGTCTGCCTCTGTGGGGGGTGCATAGTTTGTGACGGTGGCCCAGGTGGCATCGCTTGAGGAACAGTGGCAGGAGCAGACGCAATTGTTGCCTGTGGTGGTGCTGGTTGCTGCTGCTGCTGCTGCTGCTGCTGCTGCTGCTGCTGCTGGGATACCAGTCCTGGGGGTGTATGGTGAGGTGTGGGAGTACGACTTGGTACTGGAGAAGGAGAGTTTCGATGTAAAGTAGACTGTGGAATAGGAGGGCAATGAATATGACTCCCTTGAGAACCTGGCGCCACTACTGGAGAAGTCACAGGACAGGAAGAGCTGGTCATTTGTGCCTGTTGAAAAAAAAGAATTGTCAGTGTCTGAATAAACTATGTTCGGTATCAACAACTGAAAGTCCCAGGGGCAGATCTAGTCTCCCATCAGCTCCTGCTCCCTCAGTTTGGAACACAAAGGAGAAAAGGATGTGGAGGGAGTGGTGTGACTTGCAGGCAGTTCACATTGGAGAATGGATGGAGCTTTGGCCCATCCTCCTCCTTCTCCCACTCAGTGGCACTCCTGTAGAACTACTTGCCAACCAATGAGAATGTGAGTAAAATGGAAGGCAGTGCACAGAGAAGTTAAGGATAAGTACTAAGTACGCTTGCCTGAAAGATGGTCCTCACTAGATAATCAGTAGTGCCAGTAACTGGCTTGAATTAAAAATTTTGCTCCCTTTTTATCATTCATTCAGGTCTACCACGCACACAAACAAATCCACATCCAAAGAGCCTGCCAACAGAACTTCTCTCAACATACTTGAGACGTGGGAGTCTGATTGCCAGGTTGAGTCATAGGCGTGCTTGTTGGATTCATTCCAGGAGACAATGTAGGATATTGGGTCTGCTGAAGGAACTGACTTTGATTGGAAGGTTGTGACACCCCTTGTTGCATACGTGGGGAAAATCCCATCTGTAACAAAGTATTTATTATGAATGAATAAAACATTGTATCAAGCTAATAGTCAATGTTAAGAATGACATAGTACTTCCAGACATTAACATAGCAAATTTATTGATACCCTCTTATCAGATACGTTGCCAGGGACTATCATGGCCAGAGACTTAAATGGTACTGCCTCTGGATTCTCAGCCCAGTAGCCCAATAAAATTCATTATTTGAAGCATGTTGCAGGTCTAACTTAGTTAACATAACTGGTTAAAATATGAACAGTACTCCCTATTTAGAGAGTGGACTACCAACACATTTAAATACATAGGGTGGTATTCAAGGTAGATCCACCAAAATTAATAAACATGACCAAGTTAGATCTCTTAATTTCAACAGGTCTACTCTGAGCAGAACTTGAGTCAAACAGCACCTATATAGTTTGGGCACAGCAGCCAACAATGGAAAGCAAAGTCAACCAACCTGGTTCATGGTCCCCGTCTGGCTTAGCTGTCCAGGGTGCTGAAGGGGAGGAGTTTGCCGGGGTCCAACTGACTGCATTTGCATGGTCATCTGGCCAAACTGATTCATTCCTGGAAGTTTACATGTTTAAACAAGATTGGTGAGTTCATCAGAATATTTATACTATGCCACACAAAAAGTTAAATTTGTAAGAATCAGAGAAGGGTGGGAATCTTTTAAATAGGCAAGAAAGAAGGAGGAAGATGTCAGGGACAAACCAGTATCAGGACTGTGTGCAAGAGAATAAGGAGACACAAGGGAGTGTGAAGCTTGAAGTTAAAATGAATAGAGACAGGAAGCAAAGGCAAATAGGAACTTTATCATGGCACTGGAAAGAGACACTTACAGCACAGACATTCTGAAACAAATCAAGAGAGGAAAATGTACCAGAAATGCAGAAAAATCAAGAAAACACAGCTTGGGGAAAATGATTACATATGAACATGGCCTGTTGCAATAAAAAGAAAAGGGTGGCTCTTAGAGACACTGTAAAGTATGTGGAAAGATTTTGGCAACTGACATTGCTGCTGCTATGTCATGCCATTCCACTGCCATGTCCTGCCCAATGCTGCTGTTGGCCTCTCACATCTGGACATACTGACCCAACATGTGCCAGCACTTTGGAATCTATGCCAACTCAGTGCTCAGCTCTGATCTGCTTGTGGTGGCTTGACATTTTAGAATGATGTTAGACACTGCGTGATGGGCAATGTCAAGCATAGCATTTGGGGCAATTTACATTGGCAGGCAGCTGCTAAGCACTAGCTCAGCACCCATTCCAAAGCATGCCATGCAGGAAACATATCTGGAGGAAGGTGAATAACCGATGGTGGTGGCATGCTGTGGCAGCACCGAAGTGGGAGCCGAATAGGGTGGAAGCACTGTCAGGTAGGGGACCATGCTGGAGCTGGCATGGGAAGCGGGAGAGACAATGAAAAGTCCCTACTATTGTGCCAAGTTGTTCAGCTCTCTTTTTCTGAACTCTTACCTGATGGTGTCTGCATTCGATTCACCATCTGGTTTGGCACATTGGCACGAATCATAGATGGATCGGGAAGAGGACCGTCTGTAATGTAGTTGAACACCAAAATTAAAGAATTCAGACATTTTCATTTTTAAAAAAGTCAGTTTAGGGTAAGGAGAACTTTAATTCTTAAATTCTTGGAGATATTTCAGCATTTGGGGAATATTAACTTTTACATCTAGGATGCTAAAAACCTAACAGCAGCACTATCTTTATAAAATTCAGCAGCTGATCAACCAAGTTCTATTTTCAAGAACCAAATGTATCTTTAGAAATGAAATGCCAGGATGAAGGGCATTATTCTGAAGGTACTTTCAAAAGAATGTGAAAGCATGCACAGTTCTCCAAGCATCCTCCCTGAAATTGACGATTATGTATCACAAGCAGAACAAAAGAAACCTTAAACAGAACTATATATAACTGAAGAGAGATTAAAGGGTGCAATGTCATTTGTGTAGAACTATTCGTTTTAATGATCAAATGATTGCAATGAGTTAGCCGTTTTCACACATGCTTGTCCCAATGCCTCCTTTCACACAGACACAACTACTTTGCCATGTTTTCACACTATGCACTTCTGGGCTCTGAACAAATTACACAACTATATGGGGTGAAGGCTCATATGGGTTATTCCCCCTGTACCCAGCTGGAGGATGACTGTCACCCCTGTAATTCTTGAGTGCCCAAGAATCAAATAGATTCAAATGTCTATTGTTGCTGTTAAATTCATTGTTATTGTTAAATCAAACTTTGTAAGGGTACAACACTTACTTGCTGTCATCACGGGTTGTGGCTGCCCCATGGGCCCCTGACTGATAGGAGCTGGTGGCATGACTGGGGCATTTGGTATCATATTCTGCCTTTGTAGCCTGGTCCTCCTCTTTTCCTCCAGTTCCTTCTGGATCTTATAAATTTTCTCTGCTAATAAGTGGTAGTACTCTGCCTGCAATGAGAAAAGTATATGAGATGCATACATAAGGAAAGCTTACAATATGCATATTTCCAATCCACCCGAGACTGAAGGAATCCTCCAGCTACACCATATTAAGTTGTAATCTTTTTTTCCTGCACAGAAAATAGTGGCCACATTCTCATTAGAATTTCATTTTAATCCATACTAGTAAAATGCTGATCCTTGTGATGGATGGTATACACACATAGAAGGTTGCCCTTCATACTGTACTGACCTAGAAAGGGGGAGTGGGGAGAATGTGACTGGGGTACCCATCAGTAGAGGCCAGGATACTTTGAAGTACCAGGGAGTGGTCTTGTACATGTAAGCCCAGGAAATCAAGATTCAGTGCCTTACTTCCTATGGCAAAACTGTTCAATTTACACTTCAAGTCTGGCAGATTGTGTTCCATAATTCAAGGGCATCATCTAGGCTGCAGTTCTAGGTTGCCTGAGCATTCAGTCAGCTGACCACAAGTAGAAGTATCTAGTCAGCAGGCCCTATAAAATACTAGCCTCAAAAGTTTACTCCTTATTCCAAGTAACTCATCACTGGAATGAGCCTACACCAGAATGATATTTTGCTAATATTCTTTGTTTGTAGCTTTGGAACTCAGCCTCTGCCTCCTGCTTCAACTGACAGACAGTGCTCTACTAGGTCCCAGAATACAAGGTCTCAGAGTCTGTCCTTTGCATGCAAATACCTAGTGTCTGGCATGGTAGGCAGGCTTGGCCATAAGGCAACATTGTCCCAACTGCAGCACTTCATTACTGGAGTAAATGGACAAAAAGCAAAGGAGTATAACCAGGAGAACTACTGAAATGGGGGCTAGTTTCTTGGTCAGAGCAGGTTTCATTCCTCACATTTGCTAAATACTATCCTATTTATATGAGGTATAGCAGGAGCTACTCAGAACCAGGGCTTTGTCACCCTAATCTGGCTTGTTTCTTGGTGAAAATAGCAGCAGTGGGGAACCTCTGGCCCACAGTCCAAACCACGATTTCATATTTGGCCTGCAAAGCAGTTTCCTCCAAAGTATGTCATATATGACATCAGGTGAGGGGTAGGTAGAGATGCAGCTGTCAATGCAGCTGTTGATACACAACTATGAGCCTGAAAGGGTGCCACTGACTGTGTCCTGGCAGGGAAAGCAGACTTTGCCTCTACAAAGCTAAAGCTTCAAACACTTTAAAGCACTGTGCAGGGCTCTTTGCAATGATGCCATTCTGACATCCAGTGATTGACAGGAAGGTAGACACAAAGCTAGCATCTATTAGGGATCTGGGTTGCAAAGCCTAAAATGTTTCCTGCTCCTAAAATAGAATATGTTTGAATCCTTGGAACTTGCTTCAGAGAAAATTGGAATTTGCTACAAATGATGATTCATTAGTATTACTGAACTATTCCTTCCAAATACTTATTATATATACCATACAATGGAAAAGAACATGACTGGCTTTTGATCAACGTAATTATAGAAATGACAAAAAGACAAATCAATTTATAAATTAATACTTTGATACCAGAAAATTACAAAATAACTTACCCTGCTATTTGCTGATTCATACATGTCGCCTTCTACTTTCCGAGCATAGGAAACAAGATTTGCCATGCGCCTATCTTTTAGTGCTGCAGGGTCAGGAGTTGGAAATATGGCTTGTACTCTGCAAGAATATAGAGGGAAACCTTGAACCAACTATTTGTCTCCTGAACTTCTGGATCCAAAAATCTAATGCCCACAGCTAGAGTTTATGTTATTCTTAATTTTTGTCAACTTCTGGTAAAAGCCAAGAACAATCATAGATGGGAATTCTGTAGCTGTACTGGACCAAGAGGTACAGATTGTCTAATTCAACTCACTGAAAGCTTGCAACATCCAGAAAACATAAGATGCCTTAATTAGGAATAGGTGTTCAGTACAAATATGAAATTAGCTGTTGTGATGCTAGCTCACAGGCAGAACAAATTCTGGAATAAGAAATTGAAGAGAATCCAGCAGAGTATAGCTTGGTACAGCAGGAAGAAAGAGAAAGTCATGATAACCGTTTCTCAGACAAAACAAGCTTTTATAACCTTGTTATTTCAGGGAATGCGACTGATGCAGTAGAATCACCCTACAGCCTCAGAGGAAATGATAGTCTTCTGAACCTTTCAATCTGTAACATGAAGTGTCTTACCACAAGGAGCAGCAGAGCATAGATCCAAAAGTTCTCAGTTCTAGGTCCAGGGATTCCTAACAAAAGGCTACTTTCCACTCATACGCTCTTTGAATATGATGTCTGAATAAGAACCAAAGTTTGCCACACTGAAACATCTATTGTCTCAATAAAACATGTCTTGACTGGGCCAGAAGACAGACAACAAAACCAATCCTCATCCAATCAGTGCAATATGTGAATTATGATTAAGAACTGTCCCTTACTCAACAGTGTGAGCAACACTGTTACCTACAGCACTCCTAAACAAGCCCCTGAAGCATGCTAGCAAACACAGCCTGGGCTTTTTCTTTTCAATTCAACTGTTTTTCCCCATCATGAAGAAATGGCAATGGTTTAGATCAGGCATAGGCAAACTCGGCCCTCCATATGTTTTGGGACTACAATTCCCATCATCCCTAACCACTGGTCCTGTTAGCTAGATATGATGGGAGTTGTAGTCCCAAAACATCTGGAGGGCCGAGTTTGCCTATAACTGGTCTAGATTACATGGACTACTTATTACATTCCCCTTAATCCATGTGTAGGCATAAAGTAGATCTCTGGATGATTTGCTGAAGATCCACAATGGTTTGACTCCAAATAGTTTATCAGTAGCAAAATGGGTTACTCAAAAGAAAACTTGGAGGGCAGGGAGTGGGTTAACAGGAATTGATTTTTCTGTGAAAGTGTTGTCAGCTAATTTTTGGTACTAAAATTGTCATTAGCCTGATAATGTGTTCAGCCTCAAGAGATTCTGAATTTTAAGTATATCCACCCAATAGTTCTTCTGGCTCTTGCTGGCAGAACTTAAGGTTCTAGGTTTTTTTGGGGGGGCAGTTAAAGCCTGAAGTCTCCCCCAGCTTATTGCACTCCAATTAGCTGATGCATAAGAGCCTGAGTGGAACAGTGCTAAGGAAAATGCATATAACCTGGGGAGGTAAATTCAAATTATCACTAACCTGGTGTGTATCACACTGAACCATAGTTTAAAACAAATTATAATTTAATGTGAAAGAGAAGCATGCTGCTCAAAAGTTCTCATGGCACTCCTTCCACACACACACTCATGTTACACTGTGGACAAAATAAGCCAGAGCGACCTGGTTTGTCAGCCAAACCCGAGCCTGTGGATCATTTTGTCCAAACAGACTATGGACTGAAACCAAGGTTTGTTCCAGACAAGCTAGAGTCTGATTTGCTTCATCTTTAGCACAGCAGAAGCAAGGGAGAAGCAACATGAAAGTTTTGAGTGGTGTGCATCAGAATATTAAAGCATTGTTTGCTTTAACTATGGTTTAATGTGATATGCAAACTAGGCCACTGTCATGGTTGTAACTGAGATGGATAGAGGACAATACACCAAGTATGCTACCTTGAGCTCTTTTGAGGAAAACAGTGATGTTAAATAAAAATCTTCCAAATAAATCTATCACAATGAGTCTGTCTCCTGGTCGAAACCAGTAATAATTTCTTCTTCCTTATTGAGTCAGTATAGAAAAATGTTCTGGGCATGTTCAAGATCATATCTCTTTGGTTTATTGGAAGTCATTTCAATTCCCCTATGGATGCCTGGGGGGGGGGGCAGTTTATGTGGCAAAGGTTCTAAGTACTGAAAAATGGATCGTAACCTAGAATAATTTATTTGGGCAGAGTTACAATGCTGTGTGTTTGTTCACCCATCACATCATGCACAGAATTGCCATTTAGCCCTGGAAATGACTTGTGTCTTCAGGAGCAGGGTGTGGAAACAATTACTGAGAAATTAAACTCTAATGACAAAAAAAGCTAGCTCAGGACAACATGGATGACATGCTAGAACCAGATCACACCACTTGGCCCCCACTGGCTGTTTCCTCTGAATTCCAACTACAACACCCTTTTAGGCATTTGGTTCAATGTAGAGATTCCAAATGAGCTAGGCAGCAAATTGGAAGTATTGCCATCTTCGGTCATAAGGCTGATTTTCTCCTTTCATTAATAACTCTGTCTGATCTTTAGACTCCTGCTCAGTCTCCCACAACTCCCATACAAGGGATACCAGTAACTGTAAAGTTAACAAGGTAACAAAGTGAATAGTTACATCCATCACCTATGGAAGGAATGCAGCAGATACATTTAGAAGGTTTAAGTACTTTTATTGCACTATTTCAATTATTTCATCTAGAAGTTTGAAGATTTGGTGATCAATACTTACAGTTTATGAACAAGGTGATTTCTGAGGTCCTGAGTAATATCTTCATGCCATGGTTTCCGAATTCCAATGCCAGAAGGATGTGTTGCTGTTGGCATGGCTCCCAAACTGGCAACATTGGCATTTTCATTCATCATGGTACTATTAAAAAAAAAAGAGAGGTGATTATCAAAGACACAATAAACCTCGTTAAGTGAGACTTTCTTTATATGTAAACACATCACAAGTAATTGTATATGAAAGTGGCCTACTCATGCTCAGATTCCTGCTCAGCCATAGGTGGATAAACATGTCTTTTCTCTGTGTGTGTGTGTGTGTGTGTGTGTGCGCGCGCGCGCGCACTTATGAACTTCTGAAACACTGTTTTATGTAAAGAGACAACTGTAAATAAATAATGGCTTAATACCTTGGGGCCAAGGAATAGCAAGTCACTATTGGTGCTAAAATACATATGGATGATATTGCACTCTTCTTTCAGGCAAGGCTCTACATTAAGGTGAGTTCCAATATTCATTCACTTTCCACTTTATAGATGGAGAGATACAATTTTGAACATTAGCTGCCATTTCTTGCATCTGGAAAGTCCTGAGTACTTGTTATTAACCAACAATAATTTACAGTGGTCAGGAGCTGAAGCTTCAGTGTCCTCACTTGACCTGTGTCCCAAGCAATGAGCAGCAGTAGCAACATTATGCACAATAACCAACTTTAATTTGTACAATATCTACCAATCACAACATGTACCTTTTTGTGGAACAGAATTATTTAGCCCGGTATATGATATATATTCATATTATATATCATAGTTCAAAACATGTGCTATATAGCATGTGTATCACTAGCAGAATGTGCTATACTACTTCACTGACAACATTTAAATACCAACACTTTCCAGTCAAAATAGAACCGGCGATCTAAGAGCGTGTAGCAGCACTACAGAATTCAGTAACGAGGCGCATGTATATCTACTATGAAAGCAATGCAGCTACTGCAAGGTATTTTGCTTTACCTATAACCTTTACAAAAAAAGTTTTTCAGGTAAATGTGGAGCCCCTATGGCAGAACAGACAGAGTATCTCTATGCTAACTCAGATTTAGATCAGGCAGACAAAAAAGCCATCTCTATCATAAAGAGCTTTATTCAGAGGTCACAGATAAAATTTTAAACTATACAATATTTTCCTTTTGTAAAAATCCCTCTTGTTCAAAGTTACTATTTTGTAGCTCTGTCACTTTTGTGAATTCTTTCCTCAATGTGTTATTCCAAAAGTTGCTTTCTATACAATTAAAAATAAACTTACTTTTGAGAATTCATAGCTGGATGCAACATTGATTCAGGTAGAAGACTCTGGGCTTGAACACCAACACCTCCATTCACTCCCATAGGATTAGCATCTAGACCAAAAGAAAGAAAAAATTAAAATATGCTCTACTGTAGATTAATTGCTTTGGGTGCTTAAGTTGTTTCCAGATATTCTAGGGTACACATGCTGCTATCATTGCTGCAAAACAGATTTTGGCCCTACTACAAAACGGCTTCTTTCCCTCCATATGAATGTGTAGGAGCAGCTCAAGGGGGGAAGGAGCACTTATGATGGCAGAGGCAGATTTTGCTTCCTTAACTGAGTCTCAGATTGCAGCGTGTTTAATTTGTTCATCAAATGAACTCAATGGGAATCACTGAGATAACCCCTCACTAAGACTACCCTGAGTTCAACTTTTTGGTTATACTAGAGAACAGTGAAACCTTGAAAACTTGCTTTTGCCATGTACAAAGCCTCACCTCACTATCACCCATTCTCCCAATGGATGCAAAACTTCACAAATGCCTTTAGTAAAATACTTGAATAAGTTGTAGCTTAGGTGCTGATGGTCATATTTTTGTTTTAATGCTGAATTACATATTTTATTGTTGTTGCTATGATTTGGAGTTGTTAGCTGCCTTCTGAAATAAGGTGGGATATACATTTTTAAAATGAAGTTAAGAACATACTTGTAGGATTCATGGGGCGAAGTCCCTGCGGTGACTGTCCTTGCTGCTGGCTCTTCACTTGAGCTTGTGTTTGCGTCTGCATCTGATTCCCTTGATACGTCAGTCCAAGGGCAGCATAAGCCCTCTCAATCGAACTGGGGTCAATCTGGTTAGCAGTATTTATGTTGGGGGTTGTCTGCTGACCAACCCCTACAGAGCCAGAATTTCCAAGTCCTACTGCAGCACCACCTAATAATGCTAGAAAAAATGGAGACATGAAAACGATCAAAAACAGTGACTAGAATGAACATAAAATACATCAACCCTTTTATAAAGTCCTTAGTAACACATCAATAAGGTTTGTGGCATTAAACTGTGTCTGTTGCTGACCTGATAAGCATGGAGGCTGCTGCCTACCACAACTTGGGCAGCTATGGCTGCGTCCTACTGTATTTGCAGACAAGACTGCCATCACAATATGATAGTGAGGCCAGAGTAGAGGGTCCATGTATATCAAGGGTCCCTGCTGTCAGGAGCACTGCTTGTCCTGTAGGAACTTGATCCTGCAGCTGTCTCTCACACCAGCCATTAACAGTATTAGGAGAAACATTATGAGAAATGGAGTGATACTGCAAATCTGTAATGCCCTAAAAAGAAATAAATTAGTGACTACTTACATTGTTGATTTCTTTTGTCCCCAGCATTCTTGAGAGGGAGACACACAGGACAGTCATGCCGTGTACAATTCTTCCAGTGCGATATGATTTGTCGTGAAGATGCACAGTGAGCCACTAAAAAGAGGGTTAAAAAGCAATTTTACACTTAAAACTTTAAATTTCTTTGAGCCAGCTATACATGTGCTACTGATGCACAGAATCTATGCACAATTACTTGGAGTACAGTGTGACTCATGCTTCTGAGTATATTGGACTGCATATATCTATATCTCCAGAATTGAAAACTTTCCCCTTAAGTCTTCTTTTGACTGATAGGTCAAGGGAAATCTTAGTTGATTGAAACTTATCTTACCCAAGTACAGATCAAGGCTTTTCTGCTCTTTGCAATAGGTCACCCAGTCTGGATCTCTTATTACTTATTGCACAGTGGAGGCCAAAGTTGATTGCTAAAACTTCAGCATCTGTATCTCTCATCCTGACCTTGTAACTTGTGAGCACAAATTACTGCAAAATTGTTTTTCAAACAGTATTAGCTTCCTACTGTCACAATGGTAACATTTCCGGAGGGGCTTGACTTTACAAGAACAGGACCAAAGATTTCTATGAGATGAAAAACTTTATACTTACCCTGGCAAGATTTTCCCGCCTGGCAATGTGTCATGTGGTTGAGGACATTCTTCATGGTTCGACAATGAGGGAGGTTGCACTGCCGCACCTCACCATTTGCTTGTTCCCGCCGCTGACATTTGTGAGCATGTAGGAGGAGAACAAGTTGCTGCTGAATGAGCTTGCGCTTTTCTGGGTCTGCAGTTGGTGCTCCTGATCCCATGCCCTGGGGGGCAGTTGACACCATCCCAGCCTGCTGAACTGGAGGTGTCTGCTGTTGACCCTTCAAAGGTAAATAAAGAAGACAAATGGAAGTCTAACCCTGACAGTTCTCTAGAAGTCAGCAAAACACAAAGAAGTTATTCGTGTCTTTTGAAAGTTTGCCTAAACCTGTAGAAGCAGCAGCTATATGAATTACTTTAAGATAACTTAATAAATCCTCTCTCTCAGAGAAAGCTCTTATTCCTTTGAAGAAAACCCATTTTCAAGCAAAGTTCCACAATGCAACTTAATGCTCATATAGTGCCTAAAGAAAGCAGCCATACAACACAGCCTACTAATATAATGAGTATGAGGAATGATTTCATGAATCAATATTTTCTAACCTCCAGCAGCCAACACATAAACATACCATCCCTAAATATGGAGCAATGCAAAGGACGGATCAAGCACAGGAGACATAGTTATTGTAGCCACTACCAATGCCACTACTACAGTCTGTCCCCCGACCTCTTCTGAAGGCTGGGGGGGGGGGGACGAAGGGCTTTTCTTCCCACCCCCAGCATTTTAAAAAACCCCGGGATAGCGGAGGACTTCTCCGCTGTCCCGGGGCGATTTAAAAGCCCCCGGGAAGGCAGGCAGGGGGGACAAAGACTTTTGCCCCCCGACCGCCTTCAGAAGAGGTCCAGGACCTTCAGAAGAGGTCCAGGACCTCCCGGGAAGGCAGGCAGGGGAGAGCAAAGCCTTTTGCCCCCCGCCCGCCTTCAGAAGAGGTCCAGGACCTCTTCTGAAGGCGGGCGGGGGGCGAAAGTCTTTGCTCCCCCCGCCTGCCTTCAAAAGCCCTCCGGGACAGCGGAGAAACGCGCCGCCCGGGGCGATTTTAAACCCGCTGTCCCGGGTTTTTTTAAATGCTGCCGGGCGTCAGCGCTGCCGCCCGGCAGCATTTTAAAATCACCCCGGACAGCGGAGAAGTCCCCCGCTGTCCCGGGGTTTTTAAAAAACCTCTCCGCCCCCCCGCCAGGCTTCGGAGCAGCCTTCCGAAGCCTGGCGGCGGGAGGAGGTCCGAGGACAGTGGGGAAGAGGCGCTGCGCTTCCCCGCTGTCCCAGAGATTTCCCTATGGGTTTTCGTCTTGCGAAGGAAGCCCGTAGGGAAATTCGTTTTGCGAAGCGCCTCCACGATGGAAAACCCTTTCGTCTAGCGGGTTTTCCGTCTTGCGAGGCGTTCGTCTTGCAGGGCACCACTGTATACTGGAGCTTCACAGCTAACTGGACACCATAGGCAAAGGCTAACTCCAGTTTGAACAAAAGTTACACTAATAACTGAAATGAGCTTTCCTCTGCGTTACTGTTCCATATGAACCATGTTTCATCGTTCCCAAACTGACTACAACATAATACTACAATTGAATTACCCTTTAGCAATGCTGTAAATTCCAGAACTTTGACACTTCACATGTATGGGTATTATGGCGATTCACAGTAAAACCCCATTGTTTTGTGGCACTCACAGATAGCTTCACTCTCTTCAAATTAATTGGTGTACCCAATACCAATTGGATTTCAATCACAACTAATAAACTTACTCTTTATTAGAGTAATAAAGAGTAATACAACATACCAAATTAGCATGATCTATATTCATACAGTGAAGCTTTTAAAGTGCTCTTTGCCAATGCTATATGGATTATGGTGTACAAGTTTACACTGGCCCAGTTTGTACATAACATTACTCCATAGTTTATTTTAAACTATGAGAAGTGTGCTCCTGCCCACCCTATAGTCCCTATGGCCTTTTAAACCGTGAATGGGTGTGGGTTATTGTTTTTGCTTGTTACTATGTTATGTATTTTTGTATTTTTATATTCTAAACCATGCTGTGATCCTCGGACAAAGGGTATTATATAAACTTAATAAATAATAGTAACAATAATTTGTTCCTCCCCTACTCCTGCATGTGCCTGCCCCTCTCTCATTGAGGTAACTGTTTGACCAGTTCTATGAAGAGCAGTGTTAGAAACAGAGATATTAAAGCTGTTCTTCATATGGCCCCTTAAACCTAGGTTATGGGCACACTAATGGAATGTTTAGGCACTTTAAAAAACAAAAAAAACAACAACAAAAAACCCCCCCATGATTACAAAGCCAAAAATGAATTTTGTATACTGTCAGCTCCAGCTAAAATCTGACTCATGCCATAGCATGGCAGCAAAAAACCAACAAGGCTGCTGCCAGTGGCGGAGATGTCAGGTGCCATCCTGGCGCCCAGGCATCTTCACTTAGTTGTAAGTGTCTGATAGCCAGGTGCAAAATGAGCATGGTGCCTGGCTAATTTTGAACGCTGTAAGAGAGGCAAAAATGTTTACCCATTCAAGGGAGTGTAAGTAGAATTCACCTCACATTTGAATTTATTAGGTTAGTCAATTCTCATTATGTGCCAGTGTCAGGAAGCCTCTGCAGAGGGAGGCCGATGTTTCTGCCCTCGCTCTAATTCACTGACATGACTGTTACAGCAGTAGAAGACTATACTGCCTATACTCATTAAAACATACTCTAAAATAAACTCTAGTTTAATGTATTGTGTGAACTAGTTCACTATTGGAATCTATTAGATCTGAAAGCCAAACCAACTGTTGCTTATTGGCATGCTGATCTGATGAGGAGCGCAACATGCTGCCCACGTGATTCCCAATTGGTTTGGATCACATCAGGAATATGGCTTAAAAGTTAATGTGAACAGTACATAATGGAAGCAAGCAAAGAGGAGCACTATAAGATGTTTTGACTTCTCCTAATCTTCTTTGTTACCAGTATTTTTTAGGCAAAAGTTCAGCACAGTTCTATTAGGATCTATACAACATTATTTCACTCTTAAAATGCCACTATCTAGGGATGCACAATTTGACCATAAGGTGCATAAGACATTCTAAAAAAGTCAGCAATCAGAATTAGCTTGAAACAAGTGAAGAGCTACACACCTGTGCTGCTCAGAGTAGATGAATATGATGAATGAAGATTTTAAAAAATCCACTTTTTACAGAGCAACACTTGGCTACAAAGATTACTGGCAACAGCTAGACATTCAGAAACAGCAGTCTAAGAATGTTTGGGGGTCTGACTTACACTCTTAGCTTTCCACTTTTTAAGAGCATGGTTCCATGCATGCACTCAGGCCACACATATAATGCAACGTGAGATAAGTAATACTGCATGCATACCTGCAATTCTATCCCCCACAAAGGTGGTAGAAAAATTAAGACAGGCTATACACAACCCAGGAATCAGCTCTACACAGCCTCTTCAGTGCTCCCCTCCCCTCCCCAGCTCCAGCCTGCTTTTCAGTGTGGCGCCTTCATCGCCCACTGCCCAGGCCCCCCCTGACTTCCCAGAGAATGGAGCACTGAAAGCTAAAAAAGGCCAATATAGGCCAACAGAGAGAGAGGTGGTAGCTTTGCATGGCCTTTGCAGACCTCACAATCCAAGTAACACAGTTTGCCCATCTTCACCACAGCTCACACAGCTCAGCCCCACTCACCTCACAGAGTGTTTGTTGTGGGGGAGGAAGGGAAAGGAGATTGTTAGCCGCTTTGAGACTCCTGAAGGGGAGTGAAAGGCGGGATATAAAATCCAAACTCTTCTCACAGCAAGGAGAAAGGGACATTGGAAGCTCCAAGGAAGTGTCACACTCTCCATGTTCTGACCAGCCTGGCTCCTCCAACATCTTACCCAGCTACATTCTGCCTCCTCCTCCACCTCTGTATTGTCCAGTAAGAAGAGTGTGTTCCTTGATACCCCTGCCTCCAACCTCTCCACCATTCCCAAAACCTGCTGTTAAAAATACCAATAAGGCACACATCATCTGGAAGGGAATAGGGATGCTAAGAACCTTATGAGCATGTACAGGCACCTTCCCACTCACACGACCACTGACACATGCATCATTTTTGGTGCCAAAGGGGGGAAGAATAGGACAGAAAGGACTTGTGTGTGTCCCACTGCACAGTTACTGGGAATGGAATCTCTATGTACACAGAGATTCTCTTGTACTGCTGTGTCACTAGCTCAGCACTGTGAAAGGCAGGATTAACAAGAATCAAGTTAAGTGTGTGCACATTACACTGTCTGCTCATTGGGAGCTCAGGTGTATCTGTGGTGCAATGCTCCACTGAATGTGTTGGCTCAATGGCTGCAAAGCATAGACTGGCAAATGAATGAACTGATGCAATCACTCCTCATCAAATACATCTTACATCCTACTATGACAATGCACCTATGTAAACTCACATAAAGTCAGTTTTCAACAAAAAGTAATTTTATGTCATCCATTTCTTCCTATATCCCATTTCCCCTTGAACCTTCCACCCATATTATCAACAAGCACATGACCACAGTTTCAGAATACATCACAGACTGTTATTTCTATATGTCCTCCAATATATGGATGGAAATAGTACTGTCTGCCCCCTAAAAGGCTAGAATTCAGATGATGAAAGGGTAGATATGAGAATTATGCAAAAGACAAGGATATATGGTTCAAGTAGAAATGCCATTCAAAAGAAATTAAAACTCAACTAAAATGCTTTTTTCCTCTAGGTTGAATACACTTATTTCTCATGATTTGACACAATATGGAACCCTTTAAGACAAAATACTGGTATATCTTGAACTAGCTCTACAATAATTTGAAATAGAAGTTACTACCTACCATATTAGGCATTACTGGACCAGGCACTGGCTTCTTGTCCATTGGAAACTGGGGTAAACTGTTAGGTAATACAGGCTTATTTTGCATCTGGGGACCAAGTCCACTGGATCCAATTGGTTGTCCAGGATTCTGGCTGTATGGTGGTACATAAGGACCGGGGTTGTTCATCATTCCCATCTAGAAATTAAAGAATGACAATTAAGGAATATTTTCATTTTCTTCTGTTCATTTCATGGTATACACTATGGTTAACTACTGTTTGGTTCAAGGAATGGAATATCAACAAACTGTAAAGTATTAACAAATTCTGATCTACGTCATATACCCTCTTAATACTATCCATCTCTTTCCAAACCCCAATTCAATATTGGTTGTACTGACAATTAATAAAAATTTGCTATCATTCAATACTTTCCATTTTCCCTTCATTTTAAATCAAGCATTTCATATATATATTCCTCCAAATATTGAATTATATTGACTGAGCACCTCAAAAGTTAATTTATCCTTGAATGCTTATGATCCAAAGGCACACCTTCAATTTTACAATCTGAATATTGAGCCTGATTCTGATCATAGGTCATGAAGAAATTGAAAATTTGAAAGAATGTCTCAATGGTTTGGCAGATTCAAGATTTTATATCAAAGCAACACCCGAGCCATTAATTGTTTAACAAAGAATTATATATCACTTGATCTAAGAAAACCTCTAAGCAAATTACAAAAATATAAAATACAATTATTGATAGTTCCTAAATGTCAAATTTTTACAAGTGCAGAATGAGTATTAAGAATCACCTGTAACAGTGTCAGTGCTCCAGACTGAAGCTGTCAAATGGGCATATATAGATATATACAAAATAAGCGGAACACATGAGTATATATGGAAAACACAGCTGAATCTGGCAGCTGCCTAAATTGATGTTTTCTACATTTATTGACTTTTTCACTATTAGCTGTTGAATAGTAATCCAACAGTTCTCCTGACATGTGTGGATACTACACCCTAGAATCACCTAACCTAACATGCTAGTGGAAGCCAGCAAATTGTCTCCCACTAGCACAATGGGGCTTCTCCTGCTCCACCAAATCTACTCTGGCGAGTCAAGAGAATCCCTAGAACATTGCACGGGGGTGAGGAGAAGGGACAGTTCAACCTGACAAGCAGAAATGCATGCACTGACAGAACAATCATTACATCATGAAGCTGAATTCCTCCATATGGTGGTGGTGGTGGTATTATTATTATTATTATTATTATTATTATTATTATTTACAATGTTGGACTGGTCTAAATCATGACAATCTTTAAACAGTTATCAAAAAATTGCACACGTTTTCAGTTGAAATTGAAGCAACAAGGCTCTGCCCTTCTCCCTGGCTCCAAGCTGGTGGATCCCTGCCCATTATAAATAAAATACACAATCTCTGTGCCTCTTTCAGAAGTGTGGTCTACCAGAGCAGGTAATTTTCAATGATTGGTTCTTTATACAGGAATATTTTCTATGTCTCAGATCTTATCTACTTGTCCAAGTAAGTTCATTTAATACAATTTTGCTAGTAAAGTTCCTAGATAGCAGGAAATCTCTACTGGAAATTATAAGAAAGCTCTGCTGGCCACAGTCCATTTTACACAGAGATTTTAGTTGCAGAGAAAACAAGCACATTGTTTTTAAAAGAGGAAATCTGTGGTTTAGACAAAGTAGCAGGTACGAACATAATTAAGAAACCAGCATCAGTTAAATAAACCTAGATGGCTACAGTGGAAGAGTCCATTCTATGCACTACTGTAACATACTGGAAATTCCCTTCCAAAACTTTCTGATATCATTATCTTTTACATTATCTAATACTCATCAACACAGGCAACTCAGTGCCCTGTTCTCCAGTAGAGACAGCTGATGCCACCCCCTAAAAAGCTCACACTGCTAGTAAGTTGAGGTGGATATAAAACAGACATAACTCTGTAGTATAGTAGTAGTAATTAGGGCTGGGAGATACCTGAAGGAGCATCTCCACCCCCATCGTTCAGCCTGGACACTGAGATCCAGCGCCAAGGGCCTTCTGGCGGTTCCCTCACTGCGAGAAGCAAAGTTACGGGGAACCAAACAGAGGGCCTTCTCGGTAGTGGTGCCCGCCCTGTGGAACGCCCTCCCATCAGATGTCAAGGAAATAAGCAGCTGTCCTATTTTTAAAAGACATCTAAAGGCAGCCCTGTTTAGGGAAGTTTTTAATATTTAATGCTGTATTGTTTTTAACACTCGATCGGGAGCTGCCCAGAGTGGCTGGGGAAACTCAGCCAGATGGGCAGGTAATAAATTTGTTGTTGTTGTTGTTGTCGTCATCATCATCATCCGCTTTTCAACATAGTGGTGTATCGCCAGCCAAACATCACAGTTTGGCGATATACCACAATGTTGAAAAAACAAAATGAACTGGCCTCTGCCAGCAAGACACCAGCTGAAACTGCCCCAGGTCTCACAGCCCCGGTGATCTCTCATGTGAGCAGGAATAGCATTGGAGCTGCTTTGTGCCACTCAGCTGGGGAGAGGGAACGCCCGTGAGTGGGCAGAGAATCAGGGCTCCTTTAACTGCTCGCTATGGGGAGAAGTAACCACGCTATCCTCAGCTGAGCAGTTTCACAGCGCCACCAGCCTGCGGGAGTTAGCGCAGGGCTGGGGGCTCCTTTAACTGCTCGACTGATGCAAGGGCAGCTGCACACTCCTCAGTCGGGCAGTTTAAAGATGCACTTCACAGATACAGCTTGTTTCTCCCTCTCTGTCATATGAGAACGAAGTGGGATGGCTGTTTCACTCAGCGAAATACCGCTGAGTGAAGCAGACATCGCGGCCTGTTCCTCATACCGGTCTTGGGCGATATATCACCCAGGCCTAGTAGTAATGGGGAATCTGTGTTCCTTAGCCTCAAGCATAGAGAAGCATGGAAAAATAACTGAACACACAAGCTTGGTTACATCAGTGGAGAATGGAGCCTCTCTACTATCCTTCTACTGGGGAACAGAAGACAATTGCAAGTTGTTCGGCTCTTGCTAAGTCATCCCATGTGCTCTGTCATCCTTGTGTCTTCAGTTTGTGTACCTCAAAACATGCCACATAGGCAACCCTGAAAATTAAGACTACATAGGTTTAGAGCTACCTTGACAGCATAGATCATGAAGTTATACATAAACTGGCAGGCACAATATGCTGTTCCTCTGGTAGTTGCTGTAGCCAACTTCAGAGTGACTGGTTAGAGTTTATTATTGCTTTTAAAAGAATGTTTAAAGTTTTCATTTGCTAGAGCGCATAGGAGGTGGGAAGGTGCTCAGTATGTGTGCACAGGAATCAAGTGGACTGCTGGCAAAGAGATGAAACATTTCAACGCACCACTGCCAGCCCACTGAATTTTCATACTGGATTCTAGAGGTCAAGCTCCCTAATACCTGTCCATCCTAGAAAGCAAGAGAGCTGGCGGCAGAGAAATGAAGCACTTCATTCCTCTGCCACCGGCCTGTAGTACCTCTATGCTACACAAGTAGGAAAAGGAAGAACAGGGAGGCGTGGAGTGACTCATGCCTCTGCCACTAGTCCATTTGCTTTGTTTGCTGGATTTGCAGAACGAGTCTTTATTTTCAAGACATAAAGTACAGTGGTACCTTGGTTTACAACCATAATCCATTCCGGAGGTCCGGTTGTGAACCAAAACAGTTTGTAACCCAAGGTGCGCTATCGCAAATGGGGCCTCCCCCCAAAAAATGGGTTAGAATCCCAAAAAAGGGGCACGCACTTCTGGGTTTGATGTGTTTGTAATCCAAAACGGTTGTAATCCAAAGCAGTTGCAAACCAAGGTACCACTGTAGGAACACAAAAGGCTTGGTGCCTACTGTGTTTCTAGCCTATAGAATTCTTCACTCTGCTTTTTACCCAGAGCAGGGGCTGGCAAATATTCTATCCATCTTCCATCAGCCCCTCTTTTGAGTACTATTTTTGGCTGGCTGTTAACTTTGTGGCCAATTTATACTATTATTGTCATTAATTTTTAAGTAGCCTTCTGCACAATCATCTCGAAGTTATGCACAAGATAATAAAAATGAAAAGTGAAAAGACGGTTAAAAACACAAAACACAGCAGACACATTTAAAACAAAACCCAAATAATATAAAGTAGATACAGCAAAGACCCATTTATCCAGTTGAGAAAGCTTGTGCACAATTGTTATAATCCTATTATTTTTTAATATTTGATTGGTCTGGGAATAACCTCTAGCATTCTCTTCCATTCATGATTTCATGTGAAAACTCACTATGGACTATCAGCAGTCCCTAGATTCACAAGTAAAACTCAAGAGATAAATGCTATGACCACCAAGGTCCCTTGCAACTCTTACGATTCCAAAATATCAACAGATTTTAAGTTTAATGTTTGTAAAGTGTACCCATTTGGATTCATAACTAAACTATCTTCATGAGCCATTCTTCCAAGCCTCTAACCAGCATAGCCGACTACCATTAAGTGTAATATGGCTGAGATGTGAAGAGTAGATCTGTTCAATGCACTGGCTCTTACAGGGTACTATAAGCAGGCCGATTAATTAAATCCCAGTTAAGGCCATATTATGTTGCGAACCACTCTGTGATCTTTGGTTGAAGAAAACTATATCAATTTAATAAACAACAACAACAATTAAAGTAAACTTGTGGTATTTATTCTTCAGTCATTGCTCAGGGAACTGACAATATTCACATTCACCGATTAAACATAACAATGAGTAGTAGAAGCTCCTACATTTGGGAGGGGGTGGTTCTCCACACACGTTCTTGGCAGCAAACTGATCCTCTAAATACTCAAATTTGGAAAATTCTCTATAGATGCTAACAGAGCAGATGGCACTGGAAACTTCTATTTCAAGAATGCAATTTACTCCACCTCCCCTGTTAAATTCAGTCTGCAGCATGTGCATTTTAAAAGCCCAAACTGACCACACTCCCACTATAAACCAGTGTTAGAAACTCAGAACTTTGTGAACTTAAGGAGGAATAGCCACTTTATCCAGGGACATTTCACACATACATATAAGCCTATTCTTACCTCTTTTTCTTAATGGTGACACAGACCATTCATAATGTAAGTAGGGTAGGTGAAGAGAAGCTACAACAATTAACTATAACATTGTTCACT